CTTATACACACTAACACACTCACACACCCATCCGATATGGGGCTTGAGAGTACCCACAAGGGACCCCCCCAAGCAAGCACAAGGTGCTCCCACACTCGGTTTTTACTGGGCTTGCTCGCACACTAGGCTTTTTTTTTGGACCAGAGGTTGAAGGAAAAACCACTTAACGCGGGTGGTACCCAAATAGCCCGAATGTCCTACTTATACACACTAACTCACACATCCATCCGATGTGGGACTTGAGAGCACCCACAAGGGACCCTTTCTTTCTCGACATCTAATATGTAAAAATAAAACTGGAAGATGTAATTGATAATTCTCTAAATAACTTACTCCTCTTGTCTTTAATATAAGACCCATTTAACTAATTTGACTAGATTAAAAAAGTTAGGTAAGTTAGTTAATTATAAGAAATGTAACACGTTTTTCTTAAAATACCATAATTATCTTTCTTAATACCCTTTTTTTTCTTCTACTTGATTATGGTTGAGGAAGTATCCATAGAAGTAATTTAGAGAAAATTAATAAATATAGGAAATTGGTCTTATATTTAGAACAAAAACCAACTCAACAATTGGGTCATATATTAAAGATCGGAGGAGTACCTTATAGTTAAAGATTTCTTCGAGACAGTGCCTTATATTTAATAGTAGAAGGAGTATATAATAATAAAAAGTACTACCTCAGATCCTTAATATAACACATTGTTTAATTTTTATTTTGGTCCTAAATATAAGACTCTAATTTACTTTGTCTTTTATATTTGTATATTTTTTCCAAGATAATTATTCTAACGATAATAGTTCTAACTAATACACTTGATTAATAAGGACATTTTAAGAAAGACAACACATATTTATTACAAATAACTAACTTAACTTCTTTTTTTAATCTCTCCAAATTAGTCAACTACTAGCTAATTTAAAATTTAAATTAGTTATTTTTAAAATTTTAAATAATATATTCATAATATGAGATTCACTCTGATTTTCTTGTTATATAATCAAACCAAATATTTTCATAGAACGCAATGAAATTATTAATTTTGTCTTTTAGTTTTTAATATTATGCAATTTTCTTAAGTAAATAATAGGCTGCGCATATTTGTTTAAGTTTTTATCGAAATCGTATTATCTTTTCTTTTATTTGTTTTGGAACCGTAACTAGTGAATTCCGTATTAGAAGTTAAGAAATTCGGGGTAATTTATTTTTAATAATTGAGGGTTTGAAAATATTTTGAAATTAACGTATGGTCTCATTAATCGTTCATAATTTCTTTGCACATTTAGTCAAATATTTAATGGAAATTTCTGAACACAGCTAATAACGGCGAGCAATTGCATTATTTGTATGTGCTTATATTTTTTCTGGTTTGAAAAAAAAAAGAAAGGGTTGTTGACGGGAGATAAATAAAGAAAGAAAATAACAGTCACCTAAAATTTTTGGTGGCCGTGGGATCTGAGAAGGATGAAAGCTACGGATCACAAATGTTTACTTTAATGAAGCATTAATAATATGGCCACTCTTTCCAGAGTTCGATATACATCACATCATTATTTTCTCGGATGTGCCTTTAGAGTTGGGACATGGAATATGACCCAGTCTATTTGGGTTAATACGGAGCACATCTTTATATATATAGAGTCCTTTTGGATTAGTAATTTAAAAAATAGTTTATTATCAATTTAAATTTTGAAAAAATTAGATTGGATAAAAATTAAATTGGGTTATATGAATTGTGTTTGAGTTGAATTTTATAAAAATTAGTTTGTGAAAATAAGTTGTTTGGATTATAATTGAATAAGTAATTTTAGTTGGTAAAATTACCAAAATGAGTGAGACTTTGTTAAATAATAAAAAATTAAAAAATTATCAATTTACATAATATAATAATTTCAAATTATTTTTAAGCTTTTGTTGATCTCATATATTTTCTTTTTTTTAATCATTTATTATAAGTGCATATTTAAAAATAAAAATATATTTCTAACTTAGTACGAAATATAATAGTGATTATAACAAGTTTGTTTGGTACATGGGGTAATAAAGTACTACCTTCTGTCCTAATTATAAAAACTAGTTAATTAATTTTTTAACTTTTTCTCTTTTCGTATTTCAAAAGCCATACGTCATGAGTAGCTAATTTTTACTTATAGCTTATTATAACTTTTTATGCAAAAGTCAAATTGTTCTATCACCAACCCAGACACTACAAATTTTTCAAACATGCTTGTACTTGAAAAAAAAAAAAAAACTTATTGCTTTCGAAATGTTGAGCCAAACAGGCTCATAATAAATTAGTTATCTTTCCGTTCATAATATAATAAATTAGTTAAGTTCTCTCACAAACCAAAATTAACAGCGCATTTGGTTAACTGAATAGTAGGAAATATAATAGTGATTATAACAAGTTTGTTTGGTACATGGGGTGATAAAGTACTATCTCTTGTCCTAATTATAAAAACTAGTTGATTAATTTGAGGAGATTAAGAAAATAAGTTAAATTAGTTATTTGTAATAAACATGTGTTGTCTTCTTTAAAATATCTTTGTTAATCAAATTTATTGGCTAGAACTACCATTAGTAGATGGACTATCTTGAAAAAATATATAAATATGAGAGACAAAATGGATTGAGATATTATAATTAAAATCAAAATAAAAATCAAATGAGGTCTTATATTAAAGATCGGAGGAGGTAGTATATTTTTTATATTTACTTTATCACAGATGAAATTAAAAAGACAAAAGTGTCCTTGTACAATAGGGGGGGGGGAAAGCCTCCCATTCTTCCTCATCAAAATCAGCCAAGAAATCAGTTTTATTGCCACAAAATCAGAAATCATTCGCAAAAAGCAACTATGGGAAAAAAAAAATTCAATCTTGCAAATCGAAGAAACAAGGAGGAGTGAGGAAGTGATTGGTCCAGAATAGATTTGGCGACAAATAGATCTTCAAAGTTGAATGATCCTTAGGACGGTTTGGTCTTGGGGTTAGGTGTGCGCAGAGGTTGGGGCTGAAGAAAAGAGACCATGAGTAGGTGGAGAAGTAGGACAAAGATGTTGGGAATAGAGTTCAATGGTGGCGGCGGTGCTTTCAAGGTGAAGCCTGTGGGAATCAGAATGATGGCAGAGCAAATGGAGCAGTGTCTTTTTTTTTTTTAAGAGTAATCATGTATTTTTCTCATTGTGTAATCGTCATTCATATGATCTAGCCGAATTCCTTTAAAGCAGCCGATATCAAGATGCAATCTTTTTTTACACTACAAAAACAACCAAATAATTAAATCAGACTTTTGCATCGAGGTTAGATATAGAGGGTGTTTGGATAGAAACCAAACTATAGTTTCAGAAGTGTTTTTACAGTTTACGAAATAAATATGTGAAGGAATTTGTCTCGTTTTGTAAAAAAGTGTTTCTAAAATTATAGTTTGGAGGTTGCCAAACACCCCTATAATCCTTATTCACGTAATTTAACTAAACAGGCTGCTAGTTAAGTCATTAAATTTGTTTCATATTGATAAAAGTTATTGTCCCTAGTGTACCTTTATTAAAAAATGTGATTAGAAAATTCTCTCTCACCTCTCCTACATTTAAAACTCTCTCCTCCTTATAATAAAGGTTGAAAGTTGAAAAACCATCATTAATTACCTGTTAACCTCTTATATTTTAGACCAAATTTTTCATCTAACTAACTTCTAATATTATGAATTGGATCCTATTTATAGTCTCATTGAGAAAATTAATTAATTAATTATAATAAATATAAAATAAGTTTGCTAAAACAACTCTGTATAACATTATATTATATGAATTATATATTAGTTTATAAGTTAAATAAATTAATTTGAGGGAAAAATGATAAATACAGTAAAAAAAAGTGAATTATGTCTTGAACTAACGTTTTTTATTATCAAGGAAAATTTAGAAATATAATTCATTTTAAAGTAGTATGCTTTTTTTTTGGTAGTTTGAAGTAACTCGTAAGGATAAAAGAAGATCAAAGCTATAAAACCTAAGGGTGTTTTTTTTTCCTACCTAAAGTATAGGTATCTTTTTATTGGAGACAATCCTATCGAAGTACTGTCACGCATTAAATATAGGCACCTCTCCCAGTAGGGATTAGAACCTTAATTTATTATGTGACGGGAGATTATCTCCTTCTATTAGACATAACCTTTATTGGTAAAACCTGAGGATGTTACCCATAGAGTGGCCAGGATAAAACTACAAAGACAGTAACATGCCAGCATCATAGGGCATCGCAGCAAAGTGTTAAACTTTAAGGTAGGTTCTGGCCCAGAAATTTCAACCTATAGGCCTGGCCCAAAAACCAATCAATGTAGCTTTCTAGTATTCATGGCTCTAAAGAAAAAAGCACTGGGGACTGGCTTCCTCTTCCTCTGTTTTGTACTCATCGTCTTGCTTTTGGGAACTCACTGGTTTAAGAAGTACTATAGGATGGATATTGCCTATGATAATATATGTATACTATACTATTTCCTCTAATATTTAATATAAGAGCTAATTCACTAATTTAAGGAGATTAAAGAAATTTGTTGAGCTAGTTATTTGTAATAATTAGGTGTTGTGTTCCCTAAAATACCTTGCTAATAATGTGTATTAGTTAGAACTACAATTTGATTGAACATGTAACATGTGCAACTATTACAATGGTTACTTAAAAAAAATGAATAAATATAAGAGACAAAATAGATTAGAATCTTATATTTAGGGTCAAATAATTAAAAGTCAAGCTCACTCTTATATTAAGAACCAAAAGTAGTATATTATGGTATTCATGTAGAACCACTTTGGGTTGTTGGCAAAAGAACGGGAAAAAAAAACTAAAAGAAAAAGAACCACTTTGGGTGAAAGTTTCTGTCCGAGGAATGGAGCAAAATTAATGATTTTGCCAGTTTCATCCTAAGAGAATAAGGAAGCCTGACTCTGATGAACTTGATATTACCCACGTACGATTCCCATTTGATTAATCACAAGATTTGAATCTGGTCATCTTCCCGTGACTTCAAAATCAATAATTGACAGTTTGATTTTCACGGTGGAAAAGAAATTTACTGCAGAATCAGCAGAAGTTATGGAAAAGAAAAGCCTATGAAGCTCAATTCATAAGAAAACCGAACTACGTTTATTCTTCTCACAATTTCATGACCACAAACCTCAACAATACAATATATAAATCACGCTGATAATAATCAACTAGAATCCTAAACCTCATGTATATATAATTGCTTTAATTTATTGAGTGGACCATGCATCTTCAAATTCTGTGATTAGTGCATTATTTGTAGAACTCAATGACTCCCAGAGTAGAGAAGACACAAGCAGCAATCTGGTAACCAGAGAAGCCAGCACTTTTACACAGATCTGCAAATTCTCTCTCAGTTCTTTCCTTTCCACCAGCTTGCAGAAACATGACATTGTCAAGAATGGTCACATACTTATCACCATCACTTGCCTTTGGGATTTCTGGCATTATCAAGTCCATCAATATCACTTTCCCTCCTTTCTTCACTGATTTGTGGCAGTTCTTCAGAACTTCTACGCACTTCTCATCACTCCAGTTATGTGTCGCAGCCTGCAAAAATCAAACATCCATTCATATTTATGATGTTCAACTTGATTATATTCAAGGATTATTACATCAGTTCACTGAGGTATATATGGAGCCAGTTAATAACCTTGATCATTATTGCATCGCCTTCTGGGACACTTTTGAACATATCTCCCCCAACATGCGTAACTCCTTCAAAAACATAAAGGGAGAAAAGTTTTTAATTATGAGTTCTTATGGGAGAACCACACCTTAAAAGTTAGCCAATAAAGCTGAAAAGTCTAAGGAGGCCTTATATCGCTCCTGCTTCAAGGTAAGTTTGCTGATGTGGGACTCATAATACTCTGAAATAATTAAAAAGGCAAACAAACACAAGCTTATGTACCTGGGTAGGAGGGGGCATGTTGGACCACTTGGGGCAAGTCAAAGTTGATGCCTTTAATTGAAGGGTATTTGGAAGTGATCATTTTGAGGCTTTGACCAATGCCACCGGCAACATCAACAAGAGTTGATATGCCCTCAAAACCATTGTATGTTTCCAGAATCTTCCTCATATGCATCGCAGAAATATCCGCCATTGCTCTGTGAAACAAAGGTTTGAACGTTGGATCTGTTTCCATGTACTCAAACATAGACATCCCATGCACCTTCTTAAACAAGTCCTCCTCATCCACCTCGATCACTTGCTTGAAATTTTGCCTACGATAAAGAAAAGAGAGTTTGATTCAGGACGGAGAAGGTGAAAGAAAGAATATGGAGAATAGAGAGAGAGAGAGAGAGATAGAGAGATAGAGAGACTAGCTAGAGAGAGGAGGGAGAGGGAAAAAAACGAGAAAAAAGAGAAAATCAGAAATATAGGAAGAAAAAATCTCACAAAAAAAATTTGAAATTACTAAATCCCAAGTTAAGTTTGTTAACAACACTTTAATAGATTTTGACAAAATTGGACTTAACTTTTTTTATGAGATTCTACCAGAAAGAAAAGAAACTCGGGGAAAAAAAACTTAATTTTATCTCGTTTAATGATAAAAAATAACAATAAATATAATTTAAAATGAAATATATTTCTAAATCTTCCTTAAAAAAACTAAATATATGAAATATCTAAAAATCTTAATTAATCATTATTACATATCCCACCAACCATTGCTCTAATACACGCAAGATTCAAGAAGCAGATGCTTACCAGACTGAGATATAAGCAGGATGACAACAGAGTTTTGAGAGTGAAGCAAAGGAAGCTCCATCATCGTTGGAGATTAAGTATCGACCAGTGGGAGAGAGACTATACAATCTCTCGTCTTCTTCTTCTTCATCAAATCGCTTCGACCAGCTGAGAAGCGAATGGCTTGCCAGAAAAAACAACATGCGATCGAGTCTCTGGGGAGTGTCTGGGTGTTGATCATGAGTTGGAAGCTGAGAAGCAATTTCTGAGGGCGACATGCCGTTAGGGTTTCCTCGTCCAATGATTTCGAACAGGTTTAGCTCAATCGCAGCATTCAAAACTGCTGGATAAACCTGACCACTTGACAGCCACATTGCTTCGAGAAAAGCAACGTTGTTGTTCTCAGCACTCGCAACCATCTTTTTGTGTTAATGTTGTTACAGATGAACTCAAACTTTCGATCGGTTTCAAGTTGATGTTTCAAGCTATCTGGTTATGTGGGTATTTATAACTTGATTAGCTCGCCGTACTTAAAAGAAATAAATAACTAATTGTTCATGAGAATCAATTGCACTATTATAAGGACAAATAACTAATTTGAATAAGTTTATGGGTGATTTACGCAATAGTTAAAATAAGTTGGAAATTTGGAATAAATAAATATGTTATATCATTTAATAATTGACTGCTTTTAATACTTGGTCCTATTATAATAAATACTCACTTTGTCCTTATTATAAGGGGTTGTCTAGGAGAAAATTTTAGTCCTTGTTATAAGGGATCAATAGGGTTATTAATGAATTTTTTTTATAGTTTACCCCTAGTTACAAATTATTATTACTCATGTAAATAACTTTTCACTAGCTCCTCAAAATTTGTTACATGGGTAAGTTTGAAAAATTTTATACTTTTAGAACACATTTAATAATATGACTGTCATTTCTTAATCTATGTGAATTAGCTTGTTGACCCCTTATAACAAGGACTAGAGGGAGTACTTCTTTTTATTGAGGGTAAAAAATGTTAATAAATGCTTTGGACAAAAGTTGTATGTGATATAAATAACACTATAAGAATCCTCCTAAAATTTTCTTATTAAAAGATTAGGAGGGGATAATATAATATTTTTTGTGAGGTAAACATATATATGAGTTTGAATGTCTGCTACAGCAATCCTATAATGCAAGGACTAGGAGTCCTTGCATTACACCACAATTGCAACAAATATTTAAATAATTATTAATTATTGGATCAATGTTTATTTTCTTTATATGCTCTTGTTGGATTAATGTTTGTTTGATGCATGCGCTGTTTTAAAAAGTAAAATTTATAATTACAACTTACTTAGTAGAGGTTTTAAAATACCCTTGTTAGTCATTAGCCCTATTAATAGAATCCTTTCGATGTAATTATATGCAATCAACAAGACTAGCTTAGGAAAAAATTTATAAATTTAAAAGATAAAATGGATGGAAGCCTTGCATTCATAATCAAAACAAATTAAACTCCTCAGTTAGTTCTTGTATTTAGGACTAGAGAAAATATATAAAGATATATAAATATATATACTCCTCTGATCCTATTTATAGGATAAAGAGAGAAGAAATTTTTTAGTTATATTTATAATACAAAAAGGATAAATTATTTTTCATATGAATGATAATTTTATCTTTCATTTATTATTCTGTTGATTTTGTTTCACTGGGTATAACATATATTAAATATGTATAAAGTTGTTTAATTTTAATCCAGAGTTAATGCCCTTTAAAATTTTTCTTTGTCTATATAAAATATATTAAAAGTGCCATTTTGCTTGGTATGCGTGCCAAGAAGTCATGTGGAGAAGTCATCGGTCAATGTTCTACAAATTAGTAGCTACGAATGGAATGGTATTAATTTGTGGTTATGAAATTCCAACATATGAGATCATAACTTAAAGTCTGACTAAAAGTGTTGATAAGTTCGACGTGCAAATAAATCTTGTTATAGTTTTGGAAACTTAGTTCCTCTAATAAAGGATATGGTCATCTTTGAAACGAGACATATAAAAAATCCTCAAGTCATGACTTATACCAGTATAATATAATTATAGCCAAATTTAATTAACGAAATTTTTTTGGCGTATCAAATTTGACTGTGCTTTCACAATATTATATATAGGGTTTGGACTTTATTATATGACTTATATATATTTAAGCACTCTTGATATAATATTCTTTTAGAAATTCCTTAATAAGTTATGATTAACATATGTTATATTTAAAAAAAAAAAACAAAGGAGTAAGAAGTTACAGTTCTTGATTAATTGAAACAACGATGAAGGCACAAGAGTTGAACCTTTCTTTTTTTGGAAAAAAAAGATTCAACGATGAAAGAACGTACGTAGAAATTAAAATTACTAATTCAATGTTGGTTTTTTTTTTAATTTGAGAGTATGACAGATAATATATTTATAACGGCAGTCAAATTTGGTTGGCTCTAAATCCCTAGGAAATGAGAAAAAAACCAAGTCTAAAATTTAGAATTTAAACACATCTAATGGACATAATATAATAATTAATACTTTGCAAAAAACAAAAAAAAAACACTTGAGTTGCCGAAGAAATTGAAAGGCGAATTGTCTAATAAATTAAGAATATAAGCCATGATCTCCCCAAATATTCTTTTAATTCTGAAATAATAAAAATAATTTATTTATTTTACTGATCAGTTTATTACTCTAATCATATTAATTATACAAAAATTAAGTTTATTATTTTAATAAATAAATACTTATTTTAAAAATAAAATTTAATATTTTTTCTAATTATATAATGATTTTATATGTGCTAATAATTACACATATTTGTTTCATGTATTGCACCTAATCAAAATATAATCCATGGATAATACAACTTGTTAGTTACAATATACTCCTCCGCTTCTTAATATAGAACCTAATTATTGAGTTAATTTTAGTCCTAAATATAAGACATATTTCTCATATTTATCAATTTTTTCTAAATTATTCCTATGATACTCCCTCAACCATAATCAAGTAGAAGAGGGAAGGAGGTAAGAAAGATGATTATGGTATTTTAGGAAAAACATGTCATATTTCTTATAATTAACTAACTTACCTAACTTCTTTAATCTAATCAAATTATTTAAATAGATCTTATATTAAAGATTGGAGGAGTACTATGTATCTACATCGATGTGTTAATATTATTATATTATCACCAAAGAAATATGGGATTCCTGTAAATTAAGGGGATGACTCTTAAAATAATTTTAGGGGAAAGATCTAGCCATGTGCTGTTATAGAGGAAATGCTATTGACTGAACATTTATTAAATTATTAATTAATCAAGAATTCTATAATGGTATAATGCATGACATCAGAACTGTTGAAAAGAAACATATATTTTCCAAAAATAATGAAAATCAGATTTGGAATAACAATTTGTTTAAGATTTTTTCCGCCTTATTTCCTTCGTGCGTCTAAGAATCGCTATTATTGGTTGGATAAACAAATAGTTTCGTCAAAATATAAGTCATCTTGTAAATACTCCTTGTCTCCCTCTAATCTCATATGGTAATATAAGACGTGCAAGAAAAGATAAAATGATGAAGTATTCAAGTATATGAGTATTTTTTTTCCTAAATAACGAGTAATTTGCTTAATTAAGGATAATTAATGTCGTGGTGGCTTTCGAATCATTCACTGAGGCCAAGAGGGGGTGTTCTGGAAAATAATATTAATTTGTGACAAATTTAATGAGTTTGATTGTTTTAATTTTTTTTTTCCAAAAAATCTCGGTGAAAATTATCTGGAAACAGAGGGGGCATTGATTTTTTTTTTTTTCCCTTTTGTCTTGTTTAGTATGAGCTATATATACACAGTTGCGTGCACACTACAGGGAGCCCAGCATTCTGATTGGGCAATCGTGGAGAAATTTAAATTTTAAGTATAAAGTGTGATTGCTAGTTTTTAAATTGAGGCCACGTCAACCTTGGTGATGACTGATTATTCAAAAATTATTATCAAAGTGGTGTGTTTGAAATAATTTAATGTAATTTTGGGCATTAATTAATATACAAAGGGCAAAATTTAAAACAAATGATATTTTTTGAGAAGACTATTAAGGATAAGGATACAAATCTAATTTTTCTTCAGATGCCTAAATTAACTTGCTTAAATTTTAAACCTCACCAATCAAGCTAAGGGGGAAAAACCAAGATTAGTTTTTTTATATAATTATCTGATATCCATAACAGTACTTGTACTGTATTTGAGCATTGTCAAGCCTAATTTAACATAAGATTTTATAATGCGAGTTAATTTTTTTTATATATTAACAAATGGAAGAATATCAAATAAATTTAATTGGTCATAAAAGAGGGCGGCCAAATATTAATATAAGAAAAGAACTCATTTCCTCCAATTCAAGCGGCTGGTTGTTCGTTCTGTTGCTTGCAGGGTTGAAATTGTCGAATAATTAATAAATTTAATTTGAAGAATTTGAAATTTCTATGTTCGTGAACATAACAGAATCAAACGTAAGAAAGGAGGAAATGTTGATTAGAAGAAGTCGAAGGGAAAATACGATGAATGGTCAACGAAGTAAAGAGAATTTGAAATTCCTTTACTTAGGGTTTGTGTTCACTGGTTAGTACTGTTATTTTCTTCACATATGATGTGTGTGTTTGTGTGACCGTTGAAATCGTTTGGAGGAAAAAAAGGGGGGAACAAAAAGACCACAATTTTCCAATAAAACATGGGGAAAATTTTTACAAAAGACGAAAAGTCAAATTTATTTTTTCCCCACACGAAAAGTCATTTATTTGGCAGAAAGAATTAAAGGAGTGAAAGGGGTAGATTGCAAGGTCTTTAAAATTACTTGCCGATAATTCCTAGCTCGTTTCCTTCATTTGAAGCTTTGTTCCCATATTCAAAGACCTGCATTGGACTTTCAAGTCCTTTAACTCCGGTTATTAATATAAGAGCTAAATAATTAATTTAGAGAGATCAAGAAAGTTAATTAAGTTGGTTAATTGTAATAAGTGTATGTTAATTTTCCTAAACTAGCCTATTTGATTATAGGCAATAAAATTATCCATTGGTAAATCCTTACAATCAATAGGAATATTTTAAAAAAATTGTTATAAATTTGAAAGACAAAGTAGATTAAGATTTTACATTTACAACAAAACTCAATCTCCAACTAACTCTTTATTAAGGACTGAAGGTGGTATATAAGTTTATTTTAAGTGATTTTGCGTATTTAAACATATGAAAAAAAGTTTTGTACAATTCTGCCCGTCAAATATTTTCAATAACAATGAACACATTGAGTGCTACTGAAAAAAATATTTTAAGGAGTTAAATTACATATATCAAAAATTACTTCAAATTATTTAATGTCATTGAAAAAAATACTTTAACATATTAGATGCATAAATAATTATTTTAAAATATTAAGTGCTGCTAGAAAAATACTTAAAAGTGTTGAATGTAATTAATCATAGATTTTATCATTGATATCTTTAATAAGAAATATCTAATTTCTTTTTATATTAAGTTTTAAATTCTTGTACAAGCATTAATAAAATCAATTAATTTCATAAAATTCTCATTTATTTTACAAATACAGCACATTAGGAAGTTTGTTCTAAAATACTAACTCAGGGTACTATAAGGATATATGTGGAAAAGTAATAATTATATTATATTGGAATTGTAAAATATCTTTTGGTCAAAATTTTTTAGAAAAATCATTTTGTGACACAAAACTTATAACATGGGGAAAATTAAAGGAGAATATAAGGTGGAAAAGAAAGCATCACAGAAAAATATACGAGATTGTGGAAATAGTAACAGTACCAAAAAATGTTTGTCACAAAAAGTTGTCTATATATATATATATCAATTAAAAAATTGCGCATATAAAAAAAATTTATTATTTAAATGTCATAAAATAATTTAATTTAACTTAATTTATTGTTAAATCTCATATATAATACATGGAAAAGAGGGAAAATTGGTCAAGACAACCTGATTTTAAAATTAATCATGCAAGTCACCTTAAGTGTGTTTAAAGACTCAAATGCAAATTATTTTCAACAGGTGCAAGCTCCAAACATATCTTTACTTGTGCTCAATGAGTTTCACCAGCAACTCTTCACCAACTATTTGCAACTTATCTTCAATTAAAGCTCAAAATTGCACGTAGTTGAAAAAGAGTTGCTCTTGCTAAAAATCAGTTTTGTCTTAAAGATCGGGTCTTTACCCCTTAGATATCTTTGCCTAATTTTCCACTCTTCCTCTTAATATAAGACCTATTTAACTAATTTGATTAAATTAAAAAAGTTAGGTAAGTTAATTAATTATAAAAAATATGATATATTTTTTTTCTAAAATACCATAATCATCTTTCTTAATATTTTCTCTCTCTTTTCTACTTGATTATGATCGAGGACGAGTATTTATAGGGGTAATTTAGAAAAAAGTTGATAAATATGAGAAATATGTCTTATATTTAGGACTAAAATCAACTCAACAATTAGGTTTTATATTAAAGACTAGGGGAGTAATTCGGAACTTTTGATTAATTTTTCGTAGAGAAAATGTATAGCTGTTTAGCAAAAGTCGTCGATCGTCTTTGAGCCCGTACGCCCGGAGGAAAAATAAAAAGAAAGAGATAAAAGCTGGTAGCTGTTTGTGAAGTCAGAATTGCTGAATGATGGTCAACAAGTTGCCCAGAACTAATTTTTTTTATCTCTCATGAAAATAACATGGATGATGCACCATAACATTAAATTAATTATTGCAAATTAACTATAATCAATCAAATACACCATATGATGAGAAACTTAAACTAATGTATAATAATTAACACTCACACACCAACTCCTTCCTTCACAACAGCCAAACTTTATTCATTTTATTTATTAATTTAATAATAATTCTTTAATATCAATCATTATTGGGACCTTTTGGCTTCATCTAAAATTAAAAACTAATGCTTGTAAAACTCCATAACGCCTACAATGGAGAGGACACGAGCAGCAAGTCGGAACCCAGAAAAGCCAGATCTCTTGCACAAGGCTTCAAACTGTTTCTCAGTTCTTTCAAGTCCTCCTCCTTGAGAGAACATTACTATATCAGCAATGGCCACATTCTTCGCAGCACTGCTTATTTCTGGTTCCTCTTGCATTATTAAGTCTATCACTATCACTTTCCCTCCTTTATCCAATACCTCATGGCAGTTCCTAAATATCTTCACACACTTTTCATCTGACCAGTTATGTGTTGTGCCCTGCAATATATAATAATATCAGAAAGATTCCATCAGCAACACGTCTTAATTAACTCAAAATCTTAAAAGTACTTAAGTATAAGACCTAGTTGACTAATTTGGGAAGATTAAAGAAATTACTAAATTGCTTAATTATATTATATATTATATGATCTTTTTAAAATATTTAAGATACGTTAGTTTGGAAAAAAAGATAGGTATAAATACTTTAAAGTAATTTAGTAACTTTTTTAATTTCTCCAAATTAGTCAACTGAGTCTTATATTAAAGATTGGAAGTAGTATATATATATTACTCTTTCTGGTCTTAAATATAAAAACTAGTCAAAGAGTTTATGTTTCTCCAAAAGTGATATAAAAAGCCCTTTGAAACAACAGGCGGGCAATAGCATCATACTTTGACTTTGTTAAAGAGGCATACCTTTATCATTATAGCATCAGCACTTGGAACACTTCTGAACATGTCTCCTCCAACATGCTTTATTCCTAAGCGTATAAATATAAATGCAAGAATGATTAATTAGTAAGATTATAAAGTATTTCAGTTAAATTTGATAGAACGGAGCACAAAGAAGGAGAATACCTGGATAGGTAGGGGCATCCTCAATGACATGGGGCAAATCAAAGTTAATGCCGTTAATGGAAGGGTACTTGGATATGATCATATTAAGGGATTGGCCAATACCACCAGCCACATCAACCAGAGAAGATGAACCCTCAAAGCCTTTATATATCGCCAGAATCTTCTCCATATGTAAAGCAGACTGATCCGCCATTGTTCTCTGGAACTTCAGTTTCAGTGCAGGATCCATTTCCATGTACTCGTACACACTTGTCCCATGAACTATCTTGCTCAGGTCTTCTCCCTCATTCAGCTTGAGCACCCCTTCCCTCAAGTTCAGACTAATAGAAGAAAAATCATAATCCATTAGAAATAATATACGTACATGTATAAACTTAATATCTTTAAGGCTTTGTTGATACTTACAAAACCTGTGACATGTGAGGATGATAGGATATGCCGGGCATCAGGGAAGCCCAGGAAGCGCCGTCTTGTTTGGAGACGAAGTATTGGCCGGTGGGAGAGAGGGCGTAGAGCCTCTGGGTGGTGCCGTCGACGGAGGTTCTGACGGAGCAGGTGAGAAGGGAGTGAGCCACCAGCAAGCGGAGCATCCGGTCGAGCCTGCCGGAGATTATGGCGATCTTGCTCTTCTGGGAGGTGAGTCTGGAAGCGATCTCAGTGGGCGAAACATAACCATCGTCGACGTCTCCTTTTGATTCTGAAATGATGTCGAAGAGGTTAAGCTGAAGGGCAGCGTTCAAAACGGCGGCGTTTACCTGACCAGCACTTAGAATCATGGCTTGAAGACAAGCATCTTGGTCATTAGAGAGGGATTTAATCACATGTTGGTGGTTCATCTCAATGGAGTTCATCTTGTTCTACGAGGTTTAGTGGCTCTTCTCTCTATTGAACTCTTTCAATAATATGTTGTTGGATGTGTGTGCTGGTGTGCCTGCACACATATATATAGAGAGACGGGATGAGTTTCCATCGTCATCAAAGAGTGAATAAGCACTCAAACTCATCAGATTAATTTCAATTGTTTTGATTTGATTTTTTTCATTTTTATTTTTAAAACAATTATTTTAATGGGTATATGATTTCCAAAAGAAAATTTTTTAATCTAAAAGTAATTTATTAAAAATTTTACATTAAGACTGTTCATATTATATTTAGATTGTTTAAACCTGATGAGTTTGACAGTCACCACTCTTAATAAGCATCCAAACTAAGCCGTACACGAATTTATGTTTTTTTTTTTTGGGTTTATTTTTTGGAAGATGCCTTGAAAGACGCAAGAGAGATGGATGTTTTATGTTCTCTATGTTTATCTTATGATGTGTGCATGAACAATTTTTGGTATCCTATGATGCTTAATCTCATACTTAATTAACTAATTTGAGTAAATAAAGTATATTAGTTAAATTAGTTAATATAATATTTTTTGTAAACATCCTAAGCATCATTTCTTAATTTCCTTCCTCATTCTCTCTCCAACTTGATTATTGTTGAGGGAATATGAACAGGATTAATTTAAGAAAAATTGATAGATAAACATACGAAATAGATCTCATATAAACATTAGAATTAAATCGTACATTAAGTATAAGTATACGAGGAGTATCATTTAATTTTATTTCGATTAATTTTCTTGTAAATGAAAAAAAAAACGGAGATAACATTGGTGGTATGTGTCAGCCAATAGGACACGGAATATACCAGGAGTTAATAATTAATTGATGGATAGACGCATATAAAATCTAATTTGTATCACTAATAAATATAAAATCTAATTTGTACAATGAATTAAATATTATATTTAGGATTGGAGGTAATATTATGGAGTGTGCAGTCCTGACTTCAATTTTTGTCCCAATATATAATTTGCGTACCGTGCGTACTTAACTAATTTGTGAACATAGACAAGTATTTATGAAAGGACTTGAAGTTTAAAATTAAATAAAAAAATGTTAACCAAGTCTGAATTCCAAAATCCAAAGTTAGAATTTCAACTTTTGGTCATATATATGTGTATATATATACTACCTCTAGTTACTAGTATAAAGGTTAGTCTGACATTTAATTTGGTTCTAAATATAAGATTCCAATTTATTTTGTTTCTCATGTTTATCTATTTTTTAAAGTAGTTTTTGTAGTAGTTGTATATGTTAAATGTTTCATTAAATAGTAGTTTTAGTTAATGCTCCTTCAGTTCTAAATATAAGACTCATTTTATAATATAAAAATAAGTTTTATATTTAGAACCGAAAGAGTATATATGATAGAAAGGGTATTCTAGGAAAAATAACACCTAGTCATTACAAATAAATCATTTAACAAATTTTTTTAACCTATTCGAATTAGTTAACTAACTCTTATATTAAAAACATAAAGTAACATATATTCACTTATATGCTATATCCAACTGCCTAATCGAAATCAAATAGAAATGCTAAAGTTAAATTTTATTTAAAAACTATAAATTACTTTTTTAGTTCTATTTATAAATTATTTTCAACATGATTCATCCAAACTAAGAAAAATATTACACCGTATTATTTTTTGTTAAATTTACCAACTTTATAACCTTATCTGTATTTAATATATATTTTTTAAAAAATAATAATTCATACAATATAAGGAAGGATAGAATAATATCTTCATGTTAAAAATTTACTAAAATGACTCATAAATAAGGGAATTCTCTTTTAACCTTATAAATAGGATTAGAAGAGTACATCCAATAAGCCATAAAAGTTGCAATTAATGGAATATCCGAGTTGATTGAAAAAATCAATAAATTAGTTAATATTTAACTAATAGAGTACATTGAAGAAGTCAAATGAACTCCATTGATAAAAAACCAAATAAATTAGTTAATATATTATTACTGCTTAGGTTTTGTGGATGGTCTTATAGATAGCTAAGGACGCACAACTCTTGTCTATTTTATCTTATAGAAACTATAAAATCAAAAGGAGTATTAATTAACTAACGCCGTGTGTAAGATAAGACTAAAGGCTGCTGGTATTAATATACTAGTCCAGTCTTTATTCGTTTGTTAAAAAATAATTTAATTCTAAATATAAGTCAATAATTATTTTTCAATTTTTCTTCTATTTAATTTCTGTTGAAAGGAGAAAAATGTGAGAATGATTTGCAAATACAGAGAAAGAACAAATTTAATAAGGACAAATTTTCAAAAAAATGTATCAATGCAATATATTCCTTAATATGCGAAAATGAGTTAAAGCAACTTATAGTACAAACCAAAGTGATAGGTAGGCTTAACAACTGGGGTATTTAGGTTTAGGAAGTGTTTGGATAAAAACCAAATCACAGTTTTAGAAGTGATTTTACAGAGTTTGAGATAAACATATTCAGCATCCAAATGAAAATGAAAGAAGTAACCAAACGGCGCGTAAAAGTCAAGCCATGAAGGTGAGGTCACTTGAAGAATCAAGAGAAAGCCTCAATTGCTGAAATTTTCAGAGTCAAGATTCTTATGTCTCTGAATTTCCATGCATGCAGACCTCATCACTTTGACCAATTCTCAGGGCAAAGAATCAAAATTAAGGACTTTTGTTACGAAACTAACGTCAATTAACAATTTTTCTGTTATAGAAATTGGAAAGTTTGGTCTAATTAAATTTCTATATCCCTCAATATTGTTTAATTTTATCATGCGGCTGACTACATATATATATTTAGAGAAGATTAATTACAAAGTCTACAGAGCAAGAACTTCATATGTATGCAGATCATTTTTGCATTACAACGGAAGTGAACTACTACCTCCAGTCCTTAATATAAGACCCCGTTTGACTTTTTGTTTGGTTCTAATTATAAGACCCCAATCTATTTTGTCTCTCATATTTATGCATTTTTTCTAAGATAGTCCTTCTAATAATGATAGTTCTGACCAATACACTTAATTAGCAAGGATATTTTAGGAATGATAACACTTATTTATTACAAATAACTAACTTAACTTACTTCCTTAATCTCCTCAAATAAGTCAACTGGGTCTTATAATTAGGACCAGAGGTAGTATTTGAATATTTGTTCAGGAGAATTCTCCTGAACAAATATTCAAAATTCTACTGAACCAAAAAAATATGTAAATTAATTAATCATTAAAAATTTCCTTAAATTTATTACTTAATTACATAACAGAAATTTACTAGTCGAACTACAGATATTAACCACTATATTCATAAGATACAAGTTTACAACTAAAAATTAATACACGTGTTAAAATTAATTAACTAAAACATTTGTTAAAATTCACCAACTTAACTAATTTTTTTAATTTTTTTAAAATTAGTTATCTAACTATTATATCAAGAACCAGAGGTAATATAACAGACGGAGATGTTTGTGTTTTGTTTTATGAAATAAAACTCTTCTAATATATTTATTTTGCAAAACTTAGAGTTATTCAAAATAAACTAATCCAAACGAGTAGTTAGAATTGTTCACGAATATTGTATAAAAGTTATTAATTTATGGCTTTTTTATTAATTTATTAAAAAGCCAAAAATAAAATTGAAAGTTTGTGTAATATAGAAAATTAAAATGTCAAAGGAGTATTAATTATCTAAAGAAAAACTAATTTGCAAGTCCTCATAATTTATATCAATTTTAAATCAGGTTTTATTTCTTTTAAATCGCGCCCTTAGTTATATTTTAATCCGTTAAGTCCATTCATCTCTCAGGATCTAAATATCATAACACCATTAATTTTAACAAGTTAGAGAGTGTAACACATAGACATAACAACGTAACGTGGCAGCTAGGTGGATTAATTGCCAATATTCAAAGTCCATAGCCGCCTCATCTTCATTTCATCCTCTAACTTCCTGAGCACAGCTGCTAAAAGGAGGAAGAAAAATCACTCTAAATGAAATAAAGGAGAGTTGAGAGATAACGCCAGTTTCTTCAAGCTGTTCAAGCTTCTAAGCAAAATCGGCCATGTTTGAGGACGAGAAGGGATTGGCTGTCCTTTTTTTTTTTTTTTTAATATTTCATTCAGTTCTTCAAATTTCCTCGTACCAAAGTTGGGGGGGGGGGGTTGCTGAGGACAGGGAGAAACAACCATTGAATATCATAATGTGAGAGGATGAAAATGGGTAATACGCATGTACTGTTCAAAATATAAAACTTTTATTTATTGAATCAAAATGAATTACTACCTTCTGTCCTAATTATAAGAGCCAGTTGACTAATTTGAGAAGATTAATAAAGTAAGTTGAGTTTGTTATTTGTCCTAAATAAGTGTTGTCTTTCCTAAAATATCCTTACTAATCAAGTGTATTGACTAAAATTATCATTGTTAGAATGGTTACTTTAGAAAAAAATGTATAAATATGAGAGACAAAGTGGATTTGGGTCTTATATTTAGAACCAAAATAAAAGTCAAATAGGATCTTATATTAAGGACTGAAGGTAGTATGACTTGAAAATGAAAGAAATATGAGAAAAGACATATGGGCTTTTATTGCATAAGATTATTTTTCAAAAAAAAAGGAAAAGAAAAAGAAAAATGTCACGTCTATGCGTCTATCTGTCAACCTCTAACTCAATAAAATTAACGATGCTATAATAGTTTAGATTTTGAGAGATGGATGGATTTAACGGATTAAAGTATAGGACTTGGTTAAAAATAAATAAATTATAAAGACTCGATTAAAAATTGATATAAATTACATGGACCTTAAAATTAGTTTTACCATTATCTCCAAGGTATCGTGAATTATCAATTTTAAATATCAATCCTCACTATTCATAAAAACGTAGAAAGAAGATTCAGTTTGTTCAAAGCTCGACAAAAATGTTTGACATTTAAGTTTTTTCTCACAATAAATTATTTTTTTATGACTATAATTTTGACTATTAATTAGAATGTTAGATATGTTGTTTTATCAAAAAAGAATGTTAGATATGTTGGGCCCAATACATAAAATATGACAAATATATCAATAGCAGCCTTCATGTTTTTTAATTTGAACGTTGGCTGCCTTCCAACAATATGGCGTGTCAACATTTATTAATGCCTCGTCCACGATATGGTACGGCTGTTGAATTCCGCGAGGCCTCATATTATTTAATTTATGTCAAATTTTGTTGGCAAAAAAATGATGTCAAATTTAATTAATTTCAGCCAGCTTATAGTTTAATTAGTGTGACGTGGCATGATATAACGTGCAGAATTATTCATAATTCCATTAACATCTGAAGATTGTAACGTCTTATAAATTTATTACATTATTTTTATAGAAATATAACATCCTTTAACTTATCTCATAATTAATTACTAATTTTTTAAATTAAAAGAATAAATAACTTATAGAATACGCGTGATTTAATTTTTTACAGTTTTTTTAAAAATTTAATAAGAAGTGTATTAAAAAAATTGGAGGGTCTCAAACTCACATGGCAAAGATGATTAAACAAAAAAAACAGAGAATGTGACTTGTGTTTTGAAATAGTTTACTAAATATCCGGCTATAATTAATTTTCTCAGCAAAAATGTGATTTTACTTAATTGATGATATTGTTATATACTCTTCTGATACTATTTATAAGTCACTTTCAATATGTTTCACATTGACTAATGAAAATCTTAAAATTTATTAACTCTCATTTAAAATTTAATAACTTTTCAAATTTATCTTTATTTAATACTATCTGTGGTCCTTAATATAAAAAGTTAAAAACTAGTTGAATAATTTGAATAAATTAAGAAAACTAGTTAAGTTAGTTATTTGTAATAAATAAGTATTGTTTTTTTTAAATATCTTTGCTAATCAAGTGTATTAGCGAGAACTATCATTATTACAAGAATTATCTTTAAAAAAAAGATAGATATGATAGACAAAATATATTAGGGTCTTATATTTAAGACCAAAATAAAAGTTAAACGAGTCTTTATATTAAAAATCGGAGGTAGTTTACAATATGCCTCATAAGAACAAATCAACACAATAATTAATGAAGGGTGAAGTTGTACATTCGTATAAAAATTTGCTTTCTTTGCCCTATAAAGAGAACAAAAAATTTCATTCTCTCTCTATTTTATAAATAAATCAATTTTTTCTTCTCTCAGTTATCCCTTACGACGTGCATGATTTTTGTTGGCCAGTCAAACACAATTTATAAGCAACATTAAATTTTGTTTTTTGGCCAACATGGACAACTAATTTTTTTTTGTTTGGGTGACATACATGGACGACGTTTTTGTGAGCGTGTTTTAGCAACCATTGACGTACGGTTTGATTGTCACAAATATCCTTTTATTTTGAGAAAGTGACCCAGCTGTCAGCTACCTCGTTTCTTTTTAACGGCAATCATGAATCTCTTCGTCCCTGGTTAACGTTTCCGAAGCAAAAGGAGCAACGCATATAACGGAGATAATTTGAAGGAGTTGATTAAAAATTAAGTTAAACTATGAGGACTCACAGATTAGTTTTCCCTTTTATTTTTACAATAATAATGACTTTAATTTAATATCCTGTTAATGATAATTTGTTACTTTAATTTCCGTTGCATAGACTGCTTCAATTCTTTGTTCTTCTGCACATTATCCTTTCTTGATTTTTCCAGAAGCCGTGGCTGCATGTTCGATGACTCATTGTTATCTCATCTTATCCGGTCCTTTTTTCAAAACCCATTTGAACAAAGGTGGACGAAGCCCAGCCCAGCAACTGGCAATTAAGGGTAGTCCAGTGATCTAGTTGATATGTTTAAATAGGACTGGATCAGACAGTGAGAAGCCCAAAACTATCTTCTAACCCAATATATAATCCCCACCCTCCAGAGTTATTGTCCCTGTCTGGGCTGCTTCTACAATCTACAAATTGGCAGCTTCCAGCTATGAAGCTTCCATTTTGGCCCCAAAAAAGGAAGGAAAAAAAAAAAAAAAAAAGCTATGAAGCTTCCAGTCTTTTTTTTTTTTTTTGAAAAAATGAGTTTATAATTTTCATTTAAGAGGCACGCACATATAATTCAAAATCCTTGAAATTGACAGACTATGACATGTTCAGCTTTGTAAGAATGTGTGTGTGTGTGTGTGTTAGTGAGAGAGAGGGGGGGGGGGAGTTTACAGTCAATTTTTGGAAAATCACTGAACAGCCAACTTCTTCATTTTGAACAATGAAAAAAAAAAAGGACCCATTATGAGGTAATTCGAAGGCTAAAATAATTAGAATTCGTTTAAAATGTTTGTTATTTTCTTCCCATCTAAAATAAAAAGCATCCTGGGAGAGTTGGTTGAAGATAAGGTCATGATTTTTAGATGGTTTAGTTAACTTATGCAGAGCGTGAATGAATGTTCCAGATTAGATAACATCATGATGGTCATTCCTAGCTATACACGCAACCATGCAAAAGTCACATAAGAAGGAATAGAAATCCAGAGGAACAAAATAAATATTTATAAGTCGTTACCATGAAAATATAAAGAATAGTTGATTGATAAATCAGTGAGAAAAGAATCATACAAGTCTGATTCCTGACAAGAGGATGAATGACCTATCATATCAAAATTTTCTACATACAACAACAAAGCAATCCCAGAATTATGAAAGAGAGAATGACTAGGAGCTGCTGTGGGTGATGGACAGGAGGTCATTTTGAGGTTCTCTTTACTTCCCAGAGGAAGAAATGAATTTACTGTAATGAATTGATACAGAAAATATATATATATTAAAAATATAAAAAGCATACCAAAAAATTCTGATAATCGTGTGTGGTATGGCTACCAACAGTCAGCTCCTCTTGGAAACACCTGTGCTGTACCATCGAGTCACTAAATTATGTGGCTGAAACTTCAGCGTATGGACAGCCTGAGATCACAATATTGACAGGCATTGAAGAGACAGGCCAAGTACATCATATCAAGGTCAAAATATGGCCGTGAACACCCACTTTACTCCGTGGCTTTTTGTCGACGTTTTTCATCCACTCTGTGATGAAATAGTTTGGCCATGTGTCTCCTCTCACAGTCCTGGGCGGAAGAAACCAACAGAAGTGTGAAATAAACATTCTTAGTCTTTCCATTGCATGGACACTGAACCAATAAAGAAGCTGGGTCAGTGGTTCAACCACAGGGTCACTTGTAGAACCACTTGAACCAACCATATTTCATTAAAAATTGATCCAACTACACAACCCTCCCCCCCCCCCCAAAAAGAAAAAACACGTTCTAAATTTAGAATATATTTACGAATAGCCATATTTATGCAGATAACATACTCTTTTTTATCAATTACATGCAGCAGAGAAAGCTATGATCCAATTCATATAAAATGATAGGATTAATCATTGCAAAACAGATTAGACCCAAATCTGGTTCAATCACTAAGCCAGCAGTTCAACTGCCTGGTCCATCCAGCTCAATTAAAAGTCTAATTGTTGGAAACAGACGGGTTTGATGTCATTTCACTGGTTGGACCAACCGGGCTTGGTCCTGTGACACTATAACCGTTCCACAACATCAATCAAATATCTTCTTAAAAAGCAAGCAATGTTCGCATAATGTGGTCTGTAGGAAACTTTCTTTACCTTGAACATGTTAAGATGAAAAGGTTTATCAGGGTTCATCCTTCTCAGCTTCTGGTAAGTGTATGCAAAACTTAGCTGATCACGAGGAGTAAACCGGTCAACTTCATTGAACCAAAGACAGGAGAACAAATTAGTCATTGGAGTGTGTGCCCTGATGATAAAGGAACCTTCAGGTACATCTGTCACAAAGCAGAAAACATGAAGACAGTTAAGGAAGAAGACTTGAATTGTGACTTCGAAGTTCGAAGAATTCACACAAGAGAAAACCCTTAAAAGAACCTACTGCTGGGGAGAAGCTTATTTGGATCAGATGCATTAAATCTTTTCAGTCCATCAGCCTGATAAAATGCAAATTGTTGATCTATCAAAGTATGATTGTACTTGTTCAATTTCTTGTTTCGTGCAACCTCTTCCCAAACACAATGCCGATCATAGTGATTGGATATAGCAAATTCGTATCCTTTTCTCCACAAATAGTTTTCCAAGATAAGCAAGGGGTCAAGCTGGAGACGCAATTTGCTGTCCAACCAGATTGAATACCTGGAGGTTTGCAAGAAAACAAAAAGCATAAATTATAAACAATTTTGCTCTGAATAAAACCTTTGGGAAAGCTTGAGAATAGAAATAAAAGGACAATAAGTCCAACGTTAGAGACAGCCAACAACATTATAGAATTATTCCTAGAATCTTTCCTTTTTCAAAAAAAGAAAGTTCTAGAATCTAGACGCAGGTTCTAATATACAAAAGAATGTGATAAGCAAATAACAAAGAAAAGCAGGACCTAATGCTTTATAAAATAGCTTGGGTGGTCAGACCTAACCAAAAACCAAAATTACCAGATATATCTTCTAATAGGAAACCATAAAAACAAAAGGCCTATTTGGTTTATATGCCAAATCATCAATCAAACTTCAAAAAAAATACTCAACCTGATTTCTCTTCCATTGTTTAACTCTATCCAAGATGCATCCTACAGTAAACTTATTGCAAAAACAATTTTATTTCAGTCCTCATACATATTTGTATCCACCTCTAAAGCTGTTCAGTTTCCTGCATTACCTTCTGCCAGCCACACCAGTTCTTATGTCTATGATGCATATTAAAAAAAATTTAAAAAATAAAAACCATCTTCAAACAAGACATCACCAACTCCAATTCCAGTCCCATCAAATTGTGTTAGTAAACATTCCTTCATTTCTTCCCCCAGTTCGTTTATGAATGAATTGAAAAAAATATAGGGAACAAAAATACCCAATCATAGGTTTTTGATAATCAAGTCAACGTAATCCAAAAACACAAAGCCTGTTGCCCATATAACTAGTTCATTTCCATCACAGCAGACTGCAATGAACTAACCAGTTCCTGTAATATGTTTCAATGACACCATTACTGGAAAAGTCGTTTAAGTTGAAAAATGCCACTTAATACAGCCAAAAGGTAAAATGCTTAGAAAATGGTTAACCACAATGTTTAAGGGGACTCGTTCTCACCTTGCAGAAGGAAAAAGCCGATGTGGCAACAATTTAGGTATTTTTCCCACTCTCCGCATGTCATCATAGGGTAGATTCTTCACTACCACCAATTTCCAGAATCCAATGAAACCCATTCTGTCAGGCTCATGACCATCAGACACAAGTGTTCGCAGGGTAACTTCATCGATAAACATTACAAAGCAGACATTTTTCCTCGACACTCGAGTGACCTAAAATCAAAATGACCCAGATTAACATTAAAATAGTTGCATTATGTCAATTGCATCAACTGTTAATATTAACCACATACAAATAGCTTTAACCAGTCATTAATTTTCACACAGTAAACGAAAACCACTCACTTTCACAGGCAGAATATTGAATACATTTTAATAAATCAATTTAGAAAAGGTAATAAGTGATTAAGCTGGTTGAAACTGCTTGAAATATTTGAAAAAGCATATGATTTCCACATCAATGAAGCCCAACAACTGATACTAATTTTTTATGAGCACATCCATTTTCTTATGTGCATGTTAAAGTATTATCCATGTTTTGTACCCCTCCGTTGCCTTGAACAATGATAACAAGCCAATCAATTTCCAACTAAATGCTTGTTATATTGTTGTTGAACCTGCTGTGTTTCTGTTCAGATCTTATGATCAGCTTTATACACAAACTTACGCATATTATTAGTAACTTCAGAAGTTCAACCTCAACCTCAGGCAAAAAAAGCAAAAGAAAAAGCAGAGACAAAATAAAAGAGAAATCTTTTAGCCTTTTGAAGTTCACGGTAGTCCATCAACAAGAAGATCCCCAAAGCCAACCATGTTCAAACACAAATAGTCAGGCATGCATCATATTCCCTGTCAGACTTCTTGACCATATTATTATCAAAATACATGAGCTTAATGCAAATAAGAATAATCATAGGTCAAGCACACTTTTTTTCAGAAGAAAAGAAAACATTACGTTCCTTTCATACAAGTATAAAACTTAACGTTATAACATGATTTTCCATAAAGTAAGCAATCCATGGTTCTTGAACTGTTCATAACCTCATGAACCCAAAAATGAAATAGAAAAACATATCCAGTACCGCTTTAGTAGCTGGTGTCCTCAAGCGATCAGAATTTCCAAAAATGCATGAGATAACTGCAATATGGCATCTGCTAATGTAATTTGCATCATCTTCTGACAAGTCAAACCCAGTGCTTCGCGGACCTTCTGGACCTTTGACAAAGCCGCACTTGATATTTTGATCCTGAGCCAAAAATGACTTTTCCCTCTCTTCTAAGCTTTGATGCCCTCCAAATCTGGGCACCCATTGTTCATCTCCCAAAGGCTTCTCTTCTCTTTCTGTATACTGCAAGTTAAATCTGACAAATTTCCGACTTTCCAAAGGCTCAACAAGTTGTGATGTTGAGTTTAACAGCTTAATCTCACAAGATCCTGAAGCATAGTTGCATGACAATTCAGGTAATAGAGAAAATAAAACCAAGCACCAAAACTTTTACTTGTTATGTATGATAATGTTTGGCAAAACAAAGAGCAGCTTTCAAACATTTGAAACAAAATCCAACCAGATAAACCTAAATCAAGCTGAACCATTTCAGACTCTTCATCTGCCACATAGCACACCAGCATTGACTTGCAACTAGCCAATCTATCTAGACAAAGACACAAAAAACTAGAGATAATACATCCTCAATTGTGATAGTTCATAGGGCTGTTCTCCAATTAGACAACTGTCTGAGGTGTTTCCAAATGACACATATCGAAGGGGGCTTCTCCAAAATATGTTTAGCTTTAAAACTGGTCTATTTTTAAAATCAGCGCTAATTGGTAAGTTATTGTCAACTTTGACACATGACAGATTACACAAAGTAGATGGAATCACTAAAACCATATCAGACATAACCCATGTTTAGACCAGATATCTTATGAACTGCTCCTAATATTATATGCTTCAATAAGAACGAACTTCTCTATTTTTAGGATATTACCAAATTTATTCAATTTTGCAATCCAACCATTATACAGTCATTTTCAGTGTTCCAAACATCCTGACTTACCAGCTAGAAACATGAAAAAATTATCAAGTAATGAAAACAAAGCTGGAGCAGATTCCCAGACCACAAACTCCTTGCAATGTGGATGGTCATTAGTCAAGGTAAAAAAGATTCAATTGATGATCCATACAATGAATTAAATTTCTTACATACAATCACATAAAGTACCACCTGGTCTTGCATTGACATTTATAAAAATTAAAAATCAGTAGAAAATCAAATTCCTAGGAAAAGCAAATGAGAAAACACATTTGATACATATGACAAGTCTTTTAACTGCTTTTATAATAGGATAAAGCCAAGGTATTCCTTTGCCGAAGCTTGTAGGAAAACCTCATCTTTGCAAAGTTCCTGTGTCCAGCTTTTCTGATGGATAAGGCAAGGCTCTACCTTTAATCCATGAAACAACCAAATGGCAACAGTATAAAGCATCCAATTTTGCCAAGTGTACAGACTCAGTAAGATGAAACGTCTAAAACTCACAGCAATTATATCGCCATGCTTTTGCAGTGATGAGGTATCAATCTAATTGATGATAAACCAAGATACAAATGCAAATAAATTTTCCTTTAAGAAAACAGATAACCAGGAAAATCTATGAAATCGCCAGTAGCAATCATAAAGATCACCTGAAAACTTGCGGCGTTTGCGTTTTTTCTTTGTTTCTTTTTTCATCAATTGTCCATCTTCATGACCAACTTGTTGAGAATTTCCTTTCACGGGATGGGAGGTTTTTCTGTTTAAGGAAATGTTTCCCTCAGCAATGTCAGAAAGAATATCATCCTTAATTCCATGATCAGAAAAATGAAGAGATTCTCCATGAATTTCATTGTCAAATTTTAGCATGTTAGAATTAGAATGCTTCAACCCAGTATTTCTACTGTCCCCATAGTCTTCCATTCCAGTATCCTGAGAATCAGAGAAGTCATCATACTCATCATCAACATCAATTAATGAATTCATCTTTTCTTTACCAGCATCATTAGACATTTTGTCATTATTCTCAGTTAAGTCTACTGCATTCTTCAAAGAGGCCTCATATTCTGCTTCATACTTTTTCAATTCATGACGCCCTGCTTCATTATACAAGCCAACACCTCTTTTATCTGAATCCTTGCGAGAATCACCATTTGAAGACCTTATATTGCCATTCATCTTATCAGTAGCACTACTTTTATCAATATTTTCACCCTTGCTGATTTGCTCCACCACATCTTCATTGTAATCTCCATCCCTTCGCCTATCATCTCTATCCCAATACCTTGAATCTCGGCCATGACCCACTGAAACATTCCCAAACTCAAGGACTCTGCTCCTCTCTATTCGTGGCACATTTATGAGAAAATCAGAATCATTCTTCAAATCATCACTCTCATCACCATCTCTGTTTAGTTCTGCAAACACAGTCAAATCACTGAGGAAGCTTCTGAGAGTTCTAGAATCAAATTTGTAAGAACTCAGAATAACAGCATTATCATAGAAGACGTTCAGAAAAATTGTGTCAAGACTTAAAAAAGGAAACATCAGGAGAAAAAAACGCAGCTAAGATGATCAGGTGTACGTTTTGTTTAAAAGAATCAAACAAAAGAACACAAACATTCATATTAAATTACCTTTTCCCGCTCTACAGTAATCCTACCAGCCCAACAGGGGGAACAATTACCAATCACGCTAAATACAAAATGCAACCCACTGCTTCAGACCGGGCTAAACAATCTAACCATCCCAGAATCAAACAAATTGTAATTGAAACAAAACATTCTCATTCAAAGCTTAACTTTACCGTCGTCTAGAGAGAGGTAATAGTACGCTATGACAGTGACGCCAAGCGCGAGGAATAGGAACACCAAAATAAGCCCCGCCGTTAGCTTGCGGGTCCAGTCGGATCGCACAGATCGCCGGAGCCGCGGCTGCTTATGCGCCGGCGCATAAACCCCAATGGTCACGTGATCCGCCGCGCCGTTTGCATCGTGCAGATCGTGGCTTCCCCGAATGCCAATCCTCTCCATCCCTGATTGTCTTTGCTGAACCATACTCTCATTGTAAGACACAGCCTCTCTTTCTCTGCGAACTAAACAAGTGCAGTAACTACAAGCCCATTTTGCAGAAAGTTCGCAGGTTATCGTGATGTGACGGTGAAGATTGGATGAGAGAAGAGTGTGATGTGAAGGAAGACGGAGAAAGATTTTAATTGTGTGAATGTGAAAGTGGAATAGAAAAGTGAATGTGCTTGGAAGTTTTCAATAAATTATGCATAAGCATTTAATATATATATATATATAATTAATTGGAAACAGAGCTAGCACCGGCCAGCGTGTGGGAGCCAGAGGGATCTGGACCGGCGATGGAGCGCCGGGAAGCAACCGCGGCGGTTAAGAGGACAACTTGTGTCCAGCCTCACATGCTAATGTTGAAATCACGCGGATTTCGGGTTCGAATATTATTTTCCGGGGAAATTAAGACATAAATAGCTGGGATGTTGGTGAGCTGCGTTGAATTGAACTTGATTTCACTTTTATATTCTTTTTCCTTTCCTTTCCTTTCCTTTTCTCTCTCATTCCTTTCCACACCCCTTTCTTTCTTTGGTGCTGGAAGCTAAATATTGAAGATTATCTTCCCGTTGAAGCAATACAATCATAATTAAAAATTATAATAAAATATATAAAATAATCCAACTATTTACACTGGTACTAATATTATTATATTTGTTTTGCTATCAGAGGTACCAGTACTATACTAAAACTGTGGAATCTATCCCAAATTCTGTGACTAAATAGTATAATAACGATAATGACATTTTAATATTCAAAATTTTAATTAAGAATGATGATCCTGCTCTAACATTTCTTAAAAAACTACTTAATTAAAATTTCCTTGTTTAAGTGCAAATTGAAAACCTGGAAAACAATTAAAAATTTTATTCTTTAATTTTAATTTTTAGCAAGAAAGAATATCTCTATATATAGTTGATTAATGACCACTTGAAATGATTTATAAGCAGATTTTTAATCATGATTTATAGAATATAAGGTAAGTATGTAAAAATAATTTTGTCTTGACTTGTATAAAATGTACTTTTTAAAAGTAATGTCTAACAGAGCCTAAATCAAAAGCATTTCATCTGGCTAAAACCTGAAATGGAATTTTAGTCAAAGTATTTCTAAACAAGGTTTTGAAAAATAAAATCAAAATAAAAAATAATTGTTTGGATAATTTATTAAAAATAAAAAATATGTTTAAATAATATGATTATGAAAGAATTTTAAAGGGAAAATTTGCATATTTTAAATGAACATCTTTTCACATGGAGTGGGTGCGCCTTTATCATAACACATCTTATCACAAACAAGCATATTCACACGCAATTTAATATATAGAAGTTAAGTAGATATTATTAAAAGAGCAATAAGATGATAATAATAATAATGTGTTCTGAAAGCCACTTATCTTTTTTTTTTTTTTTTTCCAGTTTTTGGGCAAAGTCTATCTTGTTCACTGGGTGACCACACTAGTACCCACCACCAATTTATTTAAAAAATAATAATTAATAATTAGCAAATAATGAGTATAAGTATACCAGCAAAGCGCATATTCGAATTTCCACATTATAGAAAACATTTTCCGGTCAGCTGCAATTTTCTCCACCACCAAAATGTGGAGCGTACCCAAAAAACCAAAGAAAAAAAAAATCCATCTTTTGGTGCAGGAAAGTCTCAGGTTGCTTTTGTGCTTCGTCGGATAACTTCAGTCGGAGGAGTCGCAATTGTGGTAGGTTGCTTGATCCTTTGCTCCTCTCTAATGCTTATAATTGCAATTTCCGATGCCTCTATTGAAACATTAGTTGGGTGATTCATGTTTGGATTAATTTCTCCTTTTCGGGGATAATTTGTTTCTTGGGTGATAGGATTTTGTAATTTTTATCGTCAATAGGTTACCTTCCTCTATTATTGTGGAGTAGAAGTTGTTTTGGGTCCTCGCCATTGCCCATTAGATCATTTTACTTCATTCTCTCCCCCCACAAGTTAATTTGCGACAATTTGTTTAATTTATGCTTTAATTTACTTCATTTAATGTTTATGTTTGTTCTTACAGTCCAGAGATGCTGGGGAGACCGTTGACCTTGCCTGCACAATCTTGTTGCGCTGTAAGTGCCGCTGACGTCTCACTGCCGGTAACTGCTGTGATATTCTATAATACAAGGATGGAAATTTTGAAATGATCAATAATGAATAATGACTGATAGAGCTACCTGCTTATTTATATGCTTTGTGAGGAGGAAAGAATAGAAAGTAATAGAGCCGATGTTGGGTTCTTCTGTAGCACCGAGTAATCAGTACTACTAGCACAAATTTACAATCTTTTGTTTTGTTTTGTTTTGTTTTCTTTGGCAAAGCAATGTAAAATGGTTCTAAATTTTAGGCGATAATGAAGTCAAAATTTGAACAGCTGTAGCACTTAATGTAAGGAGTGTAATCAATATTTCCACAGTTCTACAGGTTTGTCTTGTGCTGCCACCAACAGTACATAATAATGGTGCTTTTTTATTGGGGGAAGGGGTCGGAGGGCGGTGGAATGCTTGGGTTTTGGTTATTCTGATTTTGCTGGGTAGGTGGAGGGAAACCAGCGGTTAGCCAAAATTTGTTGTCAGCAATTGAAAAGTGTAAATTTCACCGTCTCTGTAATGGGTAGGATTATGTCAACTGTTTTATTGCTGGTGAGGCTGGCTAAAAGTCAATGTTTGTTCGGCACTTTGAGATTGTAAATGTTGCAAAGGATGTGCTTTGACGTGTGTGCCATGTCTGTTTCTTAGGTCCTTAGTGTTCTCTTGGCTGCAACCTTTCCTAAGGAAGCTCCATATTTAGATTTTTTTCCGACTTTTCTGAAGCTTTTGTACAGTGGTTGAACATGCTTATATAGCATGCTTTATAATCCTGGAGTCCTTGGTCTATTGGTTTTGTGAGCCAAAGTTTAGGTTGAAATTACCACTTCTCTGGTTATGCTCACATCCAAAACATTAATCTGCTCAGGGGCAGCTCCTAATATTCGCTTTGAACGTTGACCGGTGGGGACTTTTGAGGAGGGAAGCTTGAAATATTTTCAAATAGTGCTTTGATACATTTTAAGAGAGGATTTATCCTTTTTCTTTCCCTTTATTGTGTGTGTTGGAATGGACCCTTTGCTGTAGATTATAAAACATGATCAACCTCAATTCTCATAAGAGGTGATGGCATAACTTATGTTAGGTGACTTAGTTGCAACACAATCAAATTACTCAACATTCCTGTTGTTGGATTCAATAGGACGGAAACTGGCAATGATTTAATTCCTTTTCTGAGTAGACTTAAAATGTAACAGGTATTTAACATTTTCATTCTCTTTTTCAAGTCAAATGATTAAGAGCTACTGGAAAACACCTAGGCCAAAATCTGCTGCTAGAAAATAATATTTCCTTCAAAGGTATCTTGATTAAAACTGTTCTCATCTGAGTGTAAGATTTGTAAAACTAAGTCAGATTATATTCCTTTGACTTTGTGGGATCCATCACTCCTACTTCCTGAAGGTTGAGTTTAGCCATAGTCTAGTTTTAATTTGCAAGTCAGTCTTAGGATAGGGAAAGTAAATTTTTGCACTGAAATAATACCGTGGCACAATAGAATGCCATCCAAATAAAGTACAACTTAGTGCAGCTTTAGAATCCATATGGCTTTTCTGTTTTCAGAATTGAGCTTCTTTATGGTATAGGTTGCCTGGAGAGTTAAGTGAAAATGAGTAGCTCTAGATGAGAAACTCAAAGCAACTGGAGTCCGCAAATCCTTGCATTGCTATCAGGCTTCTGTACTTTCTAAGATTTAAATTGCGGAATTTGTTATTGATAGTAATCTTGGACTTTTAGGGTTCCATGTAATTGCAAGAGTTCAGAAGTCTTAATGTGTATTTGTTGCTGGACTTTCAAGATGAAAATGTGATATATAGCCTAATAATTCTACATAACCACACAGGTTGATCTTGCTGCTTCTCCACCGGCTATCATACCATCAAACACAAGTTTTTCGAGTAGACTTTTACCAAGTGTGACCAAAGCAGCATGGGCACCAAATGTTTCTATGAAGAACTGGATGATACATTCTGCACAGATAGATGATATGATCACAAGTAAAGAATATCAGACTATGTGGGAAGCTTCTAGACAAGCTCTTGCGACATTTGATTTTAGTGTTGAAGAGAAGGACAAGATACTTGGAAAAGCATTTGGCCTTGTGAATTCACCATATTGGGGAGAGGAACGTGAGAAAGAAGTACCCAAATTTGAAACAGTGAATGGAGTATTAGAGTATTTGCGGAGTTTAAGTCTTTCTGATGACGATTTGGCCAAGCTGCTCAAGAAATTCCCTGAGGTCCTTGGATGCAGTCTAGAGGATGAGCTGAAAACCAATGTGAAAATCCTGGAAAAGGAATGGGGTATTGAAGGAAAATCTCTTCGAAACCTGCTCCTCCGAAATCCGAAAGTTTTGGGTTACAATGTAGATTGTAAGGGAGACTGCATGGCACAATGCACTCGATGCTGGGTTCGTTTCTAGGCTAGCCGCCTTTTGTCCTTTTTGGCAGGGCAACACTTAGGTGAAGTTTCTAATTGTTTGCTGTCAAGTTCTCTAATAGAAACGTTACATGTAGATATTCTTCTACAACTTAGCATCCCATCATTGATTCTTCAAATAAAGTTCTCTATGTCATTCTATTAGAAGATGTGATGGCAGACACTTAAAAATTGCATCTAAGTTTTTTCTTTCTAATATTCAAGATGGGGAAGCATTTCATTTGAATTTATTATGGAGTTGACTTTATGTATATCTTATTTATGAGCAGTAATATCTTCGCAACGGCCGTCATGTTCTTGTGTTGGTTGCATAATTCAAGAATATACAGAACATAGATGGAAGATAGAACAATTCAATGGCAATGCATTGATTTCATGTCTCTTGTGTATTTGAGATTTCACTTGAAGTGAAGATCAATTCTATTGGACCGACAATAATTAAATTGAATGGAAAAGATTCAATTTCGCCTGGACTTTTAAGTCTGATGAATTGGAAAGAAGACGTTGGGATGGCTTCTTTTGATGTAATTTGAATAATACTGGATAACAAATAGTAAATTTTACCCAAAGGGGGAAAATTGTGCAGGGCAGGGATTAATGTTTCTGGGGAGGGATTTAAGTTTGTAAAGATTCTCGCCTTTAAAGGTACTTTCTTTGATTTTCAAGCTGAAGAGGCAAACTTCATTTCCTTTTGATTCATATATATATATATATATATATATATATATATATATCACTTTGAATTGAATGAGTTATTGCTTAATCTAAGCTTTGTTTATGAACCTTAGTCCAATGAGTGTAAAATTTAATTTCAGAAGAGGATGTTAGTTTCATTCCCTGCTTTCATTTTTATGTATTAGGTCTTGTGGATTCTGGCATTCTGCACTTCGCAAAAGTGACTATATTAATGAGGCATTTTGGATAAGTTTTATAGAGCAACAATATGTTGACTTGAATGCAAAATTCAAAACAAAATTTATATGAATTATATATAAGACAAAAGGGAATAAAATTATATATTTAGTAAATAGAAAGATAATACTCCCTTTGATTCAAAACATAAGATAAATTTTGTTGGAAGGGCTTGATTGTTTTATAGAATAACATTGATTTTTGTCTAAATTAAAATATAAGTTTTTTTCAATTTTGGTCCTCATATATTCTCTTTTCTCTTTGATTCATTTATTACATTCTTTATCTATTCTCTTTATTAATAAAAGCGTATTTGGGAAAAAAATATATGCCTTACATATTTATTGTTTTAAACTAATTTTAACTAATTTCTTAATAAACGTAAATAAATAAAGCTTATTGGATATTTTAAACTGAAGGGAGTAGCCTTAACAAATTAGTTTTTCTTTTTTAAAAAAAAATAAAGGAACAAGAATACATATGAACTTCAAATTTAAATGTCAACTTGATGCGTCAATGAGAAATTTACTACCACAGAAAAAGGTTTGAAAAGTTAGGAATTTGGGGCCTTTATTTAGCCAATCTATGAATAGTGATGGCTAGAAGGTTTTCAAAACTCAACCTTGAAACAGAGAAGATTGTGGAAATCTAAATAAGGTATTTCCTCAAATAAAACCTTCCTTCCAGTATAAATCATTACGTTACTGACTCATTTTTTAACTAATAAATAATAAATAAACAAATAAATTTATTTGTTTCTACCAATAAGGAAACAGCAGGAAACAATGGCCTCAATCACCAGAAATACCTTTGTCTTGGCTCTTCTCTGCTTCCTTCTCATCCACCAGGTAATTCAAGGGCTTGATTGATTCATTGTATTAATTACTATCTCCAGTTCTTAATGTAAAACCTTATTTGACTTTTATTTTAGTCCTAAATATAAAATCCCAATCCACTTTGTCTCTTATATATATGCATTTTTTTTTCAAAGTAGTCCTTCTAACAATGGTAGCTCTAATCAATACACTTGATTAGTAAGAATATTTTAGGAAAGACAACACATATTTATTATAAATAACTAACTTAACTTTTGTTCTTAATCTCTTCAAATTAGTCAACTAACTCTTATAATTAGGACCGGAGGTAGTACTTTAATTTTAGTGAATAAAATACTACCTCCGGTCCTTAGTATAAAACCTTATTTGACTTTTATTTTAGTCCTAAATATAAAATCCCAATCTACTTTGTCTCTCATATTTATGTATTTTTTTTCAAGGTAGTTCTTCTAATAATAGTAGCTCTAACCAATACACTTGATTAGTAAGGATATTTTAGGAAAGACAACACATATTTATTACAAATAACTAACTTAACTTCTTTCCTTAATCTCCTCAAATTAGTCAACTGACTTTTATAATTAGGACCGGAGGTAGTACTTTAATTTTAGTGAATGAAATACTACCTCCGGTCACTAATATAAGACCTTATTTGACTTTTATTTTGGTACTAAATATAAGATCCCAATCCACTTTATCTTTCATATTTATATATTTTTTTCCAAGATAGTCTTTCTAACAATAGTAATCTAGCTAATACACTTAATTAGTAAGAATATTTTAGGAAAGATACTACCTATTTGTTACAAATAACTAACTTAACTTCTTCCTTTAATCTCTTCAAATTAGTTAACTAGCCCTTATAATTAAGACTAAAGTAGTATGTTATGATTCATCTGTTTATGTATTCTCCGAGTTTCTACATCAATTTCTGCTAATTGTTTATCTAGTCCCCCCCCCCCCCCAGTTTACTAGGTAAATAGATGGTCTGTTTCAATTTCACTACCCAAGATCTGTTTTCCTCTTCACACATTGTTACTTCTGGTGTGATTGTGTATGCAAACAAAATTGACTTCCTCTTTCCCTTTTTTTCTGGCCCCCTTTTGAGAGTACACTTCATTTCAATCATGTTATGCAATAACCTTTAATCTATAAATGTAGTGCCCACACATTGTAACTTTTGGTCTCTTTTCCCAATTTTATGCCCTTCTTTCAGCTGGAGATACATGGCATGGTTGAGGCCCAACAGATAGGTAAGCAAGCATTTACAGTTCATTAGTATAATTTATCTTTCAACGTTTAAGGTGGGATAGTTATGTTTAAATTTAGGAACTGCCGCTGAAATGCTCTGAAGGAAAAGTATGAAGAAAGAGAGGCAAATCCTAGTTTTGTAAGACTCGTGTGCAAGGATGATACCCCCTCCAGTCCCTAATATAGAAACTAACTAGTCAATAGGGTTGAGCTTGGTCCTCAATATAAAGTCCTAATCTATTTTGTTTCACATATTTATCTTTTTCTCCTAACTAATTCACTTAACTTATCAACTGATATACAATGTTATATGAGGTTATTTCAGAGAGATCGGGTCACATTTGTAATGTTTAACTAATTTATTAACTTTTTTAATTTATCTAAATTAGTTAAGTAATGTTTATATTAAGAATTTGGAGGGAGTAATAAGAGAAAATGAATGATGTTGCAGACTGCGGGAAAAAGTGTGAGTACAGGTGCAGCAAATCATGGAAGCAGAAGATGTGTTTGAGAGCATGCAACACTTGCTGCCAGAGGTGTAACTGTGCCCCTGATGGCCCTACAGCTAGCAGGGATGCCTGCCCTTGCTATGCCAAAATGACAACTCATGGTGGAAGGCTCAAATGCCCTTAAAATTCCCTTCCTTTATTGAGAGAAAGCCTACCCTAATTACTAATTCATTTCTCTGGACAGCATGTCATGTTTGTGGACAAGCCTATATTATTAATTCTCTGGCTGTGTTTTGTTTGTTCAATGGAAATAAAGATCTGTAACACTACTTGTATGAATGAATGCAGATACCATGCTTCTTTTTAATTTTCCTTCATCAACTCAATTATGTTCAAGCACAATACTGATAGGCCCTTTTCTTTTCTGGCCAATAGGCTCAGAATTGCTATGTGTTATGTTTAACACACAAGCACGATGAGAGGGATATATATAGAAAATAAATAAATGAGAGTAAATCCTCACTGGTGGAGTTTCAGATTTAGACTAGAAAAAATGAACAGAAAAGGGTGGGCGGCCTAACTTATTGCAAATACAGCTTATATTGTGAACTTCTTTATATCCATATTTAATTAAGTACCTGTTTGGCAGGGCTTATCATAAGCCACTTATTTTGAACAGAAGTCTGATTGGAAAATCATATCATGTTTGGGAAGGGCTTATATGCAACTGGGCTTGCTTTTGATAAGCTACCGACCATGCGTTTCAAATTAAGCTCCTAGGAGGAGCTTATTTAAAGAACTTATTCTGGGCCGTTGGTGGTGTGTCAAAAATCATTCCCCTTTTATTTTTTTCTCTGCCATTAACCTATTGCCATTTGAAAGAAAAGTAAGGGAGAGTGAATTTTCGTGTCTGTCGTTCGAAGTCTCTCACCCATCTTTTTGTGTTTCACTTTAAATATCTAAAACATTTTGTACGTTTTTCTAAATTTTAAAATTTAATTCACTCATTAAATTCCACTTTTTCATATTAAATTAATTTAAATTCATTGTATTATATAAAATTATTTTTTTAATAATATTTTATTATTTATTAAAATTCATACCCATTTTAGTAATTTTACGAGCAAACTTATTTTTATTTAATCATAATCCAAACAACTTTTTACTAATCTTATTTTTACAAACTAGCTTTTTTAAACTCTAATCCAAACACACTTCACTTTACCCTATTTAACTTTTACCTAATCTTATTTTTCTAAAAATCAAATTGAAAATAAGCTATTTTTTCTACCAACAGTCCAAACAGACTCTAAAACTGAGATTGAAGGGCTCTTTTGAGACTAATAAGGATGGGAAATAAGGGGGAGAATTTTCAAAAATAGTGAAAACTACACTGGTTTGTAGAATTTTTCCTTAGCATTCCCTTTTCAGTTTTTCCCTCCAAGTTCTTCACATCAAAGCTCAATCCACCCTGGTCATGCTGCGCCCATTTCTGGGGTTGGGTTTTTGCACCGAGGTGGAGAGGTCCATGTGTTCGATTTCAAACACAGACCAGACCAAATTATAAAGCCCGTGCAACCAAAATGCACTAAATGCAGGATTAAGGAAACTATTCCCCGACAAGACTATGCTGACTCCGATCCTAAATACAAAAACCAACCAACTTATTTGATAAAATAAAACATAAATCAACCTAATTATTAACTACATCTTATATTTGTCATCAACATAAAAACCAAATAACATTTCACATTACAAGCCAAAAGTAACTCAAAATCAGTAGCCGGAATAAACGATTGGACTTGGGATGGAGGGGCCGCGCGAACGCAGGCCCCCACTTCCACAAATTATGACGTAGGCTCTCCTACTTGAGGAGACCTTAGAGCAGCACCCCTCCGAAAGTGCAATGGAGGTCACTGCCCTAGGCCATAGGCCTTCTTGATCACCCATTGACCCCGTCCAGGTAAGTATGTTGCTCAGTTCCTTCCTTTGCTTATTTATAGCTTGAGCTCCCCCTCCTCCCTTGTATTTTTCCGATGTGGGACTATGAAAATGGCACATGACCCCCTGTCTTGCTTCTCTTCGCGGAAATACCCGGAACATCGTGAATTTATCAGTTTGGGAAGCATGAGTTTCAGCGGACAACAATGATTTCTTTCACTTGGTAAATTGAACATAGAGAAGATGGAGACACAATGTGGAGAGAAACTAACTTCCAAGTATCCGTTTAAAGTTTAGAAAGTTGAGGCTCTTCTTCTTTGTGTTTTCGTAGACAAGTAACTTTAATATATTTCTTCAGACGCCACAAAGGCAGGTTTTCTGATAATCCTTGCTACTGAACTGGGAAATGAATTAAACTCCCTCGATAGCCTCCCAGCCTTTCAAGTCTTGAAATGTCATGCCTTGTTGGATTGTGCAGTCGAAATCTTCCTGTTTCTCCATATTTTCCCTATGATTGCACAAAATATGTTTCGGCTCTGATGATCCTCATTTCATTTTTGTCATTAACACCCGATGATTAACACCCCTTGATGCATCTAGTTGTTAGAGACTTATATCATCACCTTCTCCTGTGAGTTTTTGGAGACATCTGACTTCAAACTATTGGCTCCATTGATGCGTACTAGTTTATATTTCAACACCTATTCATGTCGCTCCTCACTTAAACAATTGAGCAAGTTGAATTAAATTCATATTTGAATATTGTCTAGGAATTATCCTGTAAGATTTTTTTTTATGTCTTCAAATACATTAGACAAGTGGGTCTGTTCATATAGCAACACCTTTTATAGGCTCAAGCGTCACATGCAAGGGATGCAATATTCAATTTGGCAAGCGTTGATTCGTGCGACTGTCCTACACACGACGGCCATGCTTTATCCATCTTAGTCCCCTTAACTGCTGCTTGCCCAGAGTGGCTAGTGAACAGAAATACATGATACGTAATGGCAACGGTCAAATTTGAAATCTAGAATGCATATTTTAAATATAAAGTGGGGAGATACAAGCTCTGGGCAAACGCTGTAAAACCCCTTAAACCTCAATCTTTAAGTACGGATAACTATTAAAATAACATAGAAGCGCCACACTACTTGTTTTATGTATAAACCTATTTGTTTGCCCATGAACCACCCAGAAGCAAAATCAAAAGCACACCAAGTACTGCTAGTTCATGGCAAATTTCTGAGTCCAAGAACGGGCAGTGTTCTCGTACTTGGCTCTGTCAGTCTTGTACATGTGAGCAATCTCAGGCACCAAAGGATCATCTGGGTTTGGATCTGTCAGCAGGGAGCAGATTGACAGCAGCACCTACCACAAACAACAGTATTAAAGAAGTTCACACACAACACAGCCATGAGGCCCCTGATCGATAAGATTGTTAAGGACATATCTTTAAGCAAAATTCCGCCCCTGATCGATAAGCTTGTTAAGGACATATCTTTAAGCAAAATTCCGTTAAGTATTTGCCATAAAATTTTGTGAAGGAAACATATTTCAAAAAGATCTAAATTTGGATACCGTTTTCTTTTTACTGGGTAGAGGGATACAATTTCCTATGCTTTCATTGTCAAGATCTTCAATGTGTACCTAAATTTTCTAAAAAACCAAGCAACTAATGCTAGTTTGCAAAAACCATTCACTTGTTTGCATAATCCATGCATTTGTCACATTAAGTAACTTGATAGTAAAGATACAAGACCCTCGACATAAGCTCTTCCAACTTTAAAGGAAATTCAATTGTATGATATTGAACTCTAGAAATTGCAGAATCAGATAGCAGATTCATAGGAGCTATAAGTTTTCTTTTCCGTACTAAAACATTAACTGCCTTTCACACTTGTTTCTTTAGACAAAAAATTGAAGCCCTTAAGTGAAGAACTAAAGAATCGAATTCCCGATGGAAAGGAGGATATTGGACTAGGTGTCATCTGCCGGAGTAGGGTATTGCGTGTGATAAAGCTTCATACCTTGGAAACTGTAAGAGCAGGGCTCCACTGCTCTTTCAGAATATCAAGACAGATACTTCCATTGCTGTTGATATTAGGGTGAAATACCTTTGTTCGAAAAGCAACCTGACCAAACAGAAGAAAATTTTATCCATTGTATACTTTGTATATGTTTGTTCAGGGGAATACTTGGAACCCAAGGGAAAAAAATAAATGGACAGTCAAATGAAATCAGAATAAACATACAAATAATACATAGTTCACATAACACAAACAAAAGTATCAACGTTACATCATAAATCTATATATATAATCCCATTCTTTGGCTATGCACACTACTAACGCGGCAGGCATAATTAGCTCTCTTAGACCCACAGTGTAATTTTTTGTAATCTGTATCTGTACATATTTTGATCAATATACTCCTTTTATTCAAAAAAAAAAAATCTATATATACAATGAATCCTATACCCATGCTAAAGCAACAAATAGTCTGTCATTCAGAATAGAATGAAATGGAAAGGCAAAATTAAAAAAGAAAAAAAGATTTTTTTTTTTTAGATGAAAAATAACCCTCGTGTCCCTACTAAAATAATAAAAAGGGACGAATACTGTTGAGTAATGATTATAACAGCAAAATAGACATTGTGAAAAAGACATGGTGATGGATTTCCGCTCTATCACCACATCATACCAGCTGCAAGTGTCTGGGGGTTTCTCCACCACATGGATTCACCTGCACTAGATAGAAAGTATCAAGAGATTCATGTTCACAACATTGAGGTTATTGTTGAGGTTAATAGGCAAGCAATCAGCGTTAGGGATTAATGAGACAATGAAAAGGTGTACTCAATGTCATACATAGCTTGCACATGTAGCAAGTGAATATTTGGAAAAAGACAATCTAAACCTAGCCACATAAAGACGGATCGCCAACATGAGACTCCATTATACCCTAAAATTCACCAACTCAACAGAAAAAAAAATGGCAAATGTCTTAGCCAAGGCATTAGCTTTCAAAAAACATTAATGCCAAAAGAGCTACCTTCGGTGGTTTGAAAGGATAATCCGGAGGGAAGTGAATGGTCACTAGGAAGACACCACCAGCATAAGGGCTATCTGCAGGGCCCATAATTGTAGCTTGCCAATGAAATATGTCTTCACCAACAGGACCTGATGTAAAAATCATTAAATATTTTCTCAGTTTTTCAGAAAATAAAACTTAGCATGCAATGATCAAAGATATGCCCCCATGCATTGCTCATCCTGATTATTCATATCCATTCTTCCCAGATTTACCTCAACCAATTAGAATCTATTTAATTAACTTACTCTGGGGCTGACCACAAGAACCAATAGTCAAACGTTCAAATCCACTTCAAATCTCCATCTAGGCTCAACCAAAATCTAGGTCCTATAGTGTCCTTTTGAAATGGTCTCCTACTCAACTACATGCACGATTTTACTTGCCACACTCTTAACTTATCGGACTCTTTGACAGTGTTCTCATGCATGCAGAACGGATACACAAAAACAGGATAAGTGAGAAACCAGATTATGGAGCCTCATAACAAAATTTATGAGAAATGTAAGGATAATCATGAAAATCTTCCATTCAAGCTTGAAGCTCCAATAGTATACATTAACAGCATTTCTGATAAATTGATTTTGCCTGAGCACAATAATATCTACATAAGATGAAGTCCAAGTTATGAACTAGGTAAATAACAGAGCTACATATGTAGATAATGATCAGACAAAAGGGAAAAGAACAGAGAGAAGATAATTAAAAACAAACCAGCACTGCAGGAAACAGGAGGGTCCTTCTGTAGGTCCTTCAACTCCTTAGTGATGCGTTTTGAAGCCATCACCAGTGTGCAAAGTTGAAGAACTATTCAAAGCTTTTCAATCCTAAAAATTAATAACAAATCATCAATACGCTAAAGAAAAAGCTTTAAGCATCACCTTCGCATCTGATTTACAAAATTGATAGAGAACAAATGTCACCTATTTATCACAGGAAAAAAACGAAATTTTACTTTGAAAGTTAAAAGAGAAGAAAATCTCTTATACTCTCAGTCACTCCACGAAAACTAAATAATCAATTCATTCAAAAATAAAACCAAGTACCGTAAGAAAAACATGCAATCAGTTTTCTAGCTATTTTCAGATGACAGTATAACTACGACGTACAAAACTTCTACAACGCAACTTTCAAATGATGGTGATAAATGATAGCATCTAACTAAATTCTCTGGACAGACAGAGTATCCATGATAACCAAACAAAAAAAAAATTGAGAAGGGAAAAAACGATGGAGGGGAAGACAGGTTACTAAGTTGTTGAGCATTTCAAATTAGAAACATAATAAATTACACATATTATTAGAGACCCAGGACTTCACAAACAAATATTCCCTATTACTAGAGACCCAGGACTTCACAAACAAATATTCCCTTTTCTTCGAAATTATAGGCGTATACATAATTAATTACACTATCTAGGTCGAATAGCAAAGCCCTTACAACGCAAAAAGTTCCCTGCAACCCACTTAAGAGCTAAGACACCACTGAAGTGGATAATAGCACAGAGTAGCTCAAAACAGGAAATATAAACATATTTAGGCACCCGCACCCAAATATATCCCCGAGCAGAACACACCGCTCTAAAGCATCGACAAGCATGGAAATACAACAATACCCAAGAATCCAAAAGCGAATAAAAAGTAAAAAAATCAGAGGCGCATTAAGAATCCTAAAAAAATGCAAACAAAAGTCCATCAACATTATAAGTAACAGTCCCTTTAACCTTGTCGGAAACCCACAAAGGAAGTGTGGGAAAGAAAAACAGAGAACAAATTGATCACCGATAAACCGTGAATCGAAGAAGAGAGAGCGAGAAGGTAATGAGAAATTCGTCTCACCTGCAGGTGGTGTGAGGGTTTGAAGTTTGATCTGCAAGGGGGCCGATCGTCAAGAAGCAGTAGTGTTTGGTGAGGTGAGGCACACGCTTTATACGGTGCTTCGTTCGACCAGTAAATGCTTGCCATGCACGCGACCATTGTCCAATCACATCCTCCGGTGTTGGGTTTGGACCCTTTTTTGTCCCAAAAAAGGTTTAAACAATATTTAAAAGATATTTGGATAAAAATAAAATTATAATTTTAAAAATAATTTTATAATATACGTAAAATAAATACGTGAAAAAATTTATCTTGATTTATAAAAAAGTATTTTTGACAATAGCCAAACATCCTTTTAATCAAAAAGTAAAAACAATTTTCATTAAGAATCTTATATCTTTAAGGAAAATTTTCAAAAAAAATATCAGTTTGGTTTTAAAGCCTCAAATAAAAAAATTCCTAAAAACTGTGTTTTTATTTGTTTATTAAGTATGGTCAATAGCTATTAAAATATTAAAAAAATTGATTTAAAATTTTGAAATTTAAATAGTATTTTTGTGTGGTTTTTTTTGCTTATAATTATTGTTGTATTACATACTAATTATATTTATATGATAAAAAATACATTTTCCTGTATGGTTGGATTTGGGTAAAAACCAAATTATAATTTTATAAATAATTTTACAATATATAAAATAGATACTCTGAATACCTCATAATCAAGCAGATTATTTTTTGCTTTCAGAAAAATATTAATTAAATTTAGTAAAATTTCTTTTATTTATGACGTCAAAATCATTTGTCTTGGGAAGTGTCCTCGTGCTCGATCGCAATTAATTCCATTTAATTTCTTTCCTTCTTTTAAAATAAAATAACTTTGCAACTTCAATAGATTTCGTCCTTGGAAATTACTTCAAAATCATTTAGTTTCATGTAAAATTGCGACATTATTTTATTTTATTGCGGGCAATAGTATATAATACTATTTCATTGATTTTTTGCTGGCCGTGGTACTACTAGGTTGAGATAAAATTTGCCGTCCTGAAAATTTTTTAAATTTAATGTTATCCTAAAAATTTTAAAATATAGCAACGTTGTCTCACCCTCATAAAGAACAAAAATGTTAACGTTAAAAATTTGTATTGGCCATTAATATTTTTAACGATAAAAAGTAATATTACTTTCAGAGTAATTTTGAATAAAAAAACCCTGACACATATTTACATCTTAACTCAATAATATTTCATTGTTAAAGTAAAATAAAAATGTTTTAAAGAATATAAATGTATTGTAGTTAGGACCAGGAGGAGTTTTTTTTAATTGTATATTTGGAGACAATTACATTTAAAACACCTTTACATAAACGTGACACAACTCATGATGAGAATTTAAAACTTAATTTATTATGTTACGAGATTGAATTCCTTTAGTTGATGATTAATTATAAGTCATTTCTAAAGAGTTTCACCATAATAAAAAAAATCTTAAATTTTATTAATATTCCCTTAAAATTTCATAAGCCATTTCTCCCATTCTCTTGATTTTGATGAATTAATTAAAATGATTTTTATAGATAAGCAAAAAAATTTCTCTCTCCATCTCATAAATAGATTTAGTGGAGTACAAAATAAATTTATTTCTAAAAAAAGGTAAATGAATATCGTAGCTGATAAACATGAGTAAATAAGGAATGATATCACCTTAATTAATTTTGCACCACAGCATTTTGAATGAAGCATGGGATAAATGCATTTAAGATTTACTGAGGAAATTACCGCCATGAACCATAAATGTTTCCAAAGAATGAACTTCTCTCCATTTGAAATAATTTTTAAACGATTTAGATTTAATATTTTACAAATTTAATGTTAAAATATACATTTATGGAACATAATTAAACAAATCTAAACCAATTATAAACTTGATTTGAATAGTTCAGAATCAGAGCTACATTTGAAAAATCAATTCAGACAGACTACTTTTGAGGGGGGAAAACAATGGAAAAAAAAATTTGGAAAATCCCAAACAAAAAATTGTTGAATTTTAAAATTTTAAATAAAAAATTATCACAAAAATATATTATCATTTACTTTTCAAATGTAATTATTTTTTTTACGAGTGTAATAACCAATACTGATTTGAATTTTTGAAATTCAATAGTCATTTTTTTAGAATTCTCCTGAAATATTTTGCAAAACATTAAATCTGCATCATTTTGATCAAAATGATTAAAATGTGCAATAGAGTGGGTGGAGAGAAAAGTACGTATAGAGAAGCCCAATCTATTTTCTGACCCAAAAAATCCATTCTTCTTTTTTTAAAAAAAAAATTTATATAATTAAATATACGTGTTTGCACAAACATGTCAAGCGTGGCATGGAATCCAAGTGTAAACCAAATTTTGAAATTTTTTTTTAAATTTTATCTTTTTTGATAAAAATTTATTTTTGGTTCTAAATTAAATGAAAAGGAAGCTGAAAAATTAATTTTTTAAATTTTCAATTTAAGGCCTTAATTTTTTTTCCTTTCATATTAATTATACGTTTTAAACTAACTCTATTTATTGTAATTTTTTCACTGCAAAGAAAATAGTAAATAGATTGAATTAAATGGAAAAGATATTTTAGAAAAACTATTACAAATTGATGGTATATTTTAATAACAAATACCTAATGTCAACTCAGTCCAAAAAAAACAGATAACTACGACTTTAGTTTGGGAAAGCAATATTTGGAAGACTAATTATTTTATTAAGAAATCATTGAATATTATTGACTAATTTGAATTTATTAAGTTAGATGTGGGTTTTTTAATATGAAAGGCTCAATACTACTACTTATGTAAGCGTGTTTTGTTTATATTTCATTCTGCGGGCTCACATTATTAATGGATTAGCCTTGTAAAAATAGCAATTAATCGTGTATGAGTATTCTTGATTGATAGTTTTTATCACGTGCGTATATCCTTCTCTATTGAGCTAACTCACAACGTATAATTACATCTATTTCTTACCCAATTCTCAATTGGCCTAGCTTGAGTTTTTCAGCTCTAATTTTCTTAATATGTACACACACACACACAACAGAATAGTTGCTTAAAGAGAACAAATTTATCGCAACAGTAATTAATAAATAAGTAAATTTTCTCATTTTAATCTTCCATAATTCACTGTTTTGGCTTATTAACAACTCATTCATTACAAGGCATGCAGTGTTGCTATTCTATTTTCTTTCGAAAAATATCAAGCCTAGTATTTTGTTGATTGATCAGATTCAAATTTGTTAACTTGACATTAACTGTTAATCCACTTCAAATTTAATTGTTTAGGAACCAACAAAATGTTGGTTGGCATGGTAGCAGTTCACCCTGTAAGGAGGAGAACACATATTCGAATCTCAAAAAGCGTACTTGTTAGGAGGGCCATTGCTCTTTAATCGCTCTCAACCTGGGATTAGTCTTAATCCAATGTAACCTGGGGATACCCTAGTTCCACCTTAAAAAAATGACATTTAGGATGATAAACTGTTAATATATATATTGAGAGAGAGAGCTTACAATGGACTTATTAGGGTTTAGAGACTAATTTTTTTCCCTAAAGAAAAAGAATGATATTACTTAAACAAATAAGACACGAAATTAAAACAAACCATACAATAATAAAGGGAATTTACATTTACGAGACACAAACACGCTACAACAATTTCTTTTTTCTTTTTTTTTTTGGCAGTTCGTAAACTTCCTATTTCCACCTTCATCAACAGAGAAGGGATAATAAATTGGATAACTTTTCAAGTCATCTTCTAACATCACCAATAATAACAAGTAATAGGTTTTCTCCTGATCATCACTTAGCAGGCAGCTTCCAATATTCTCTCCCCAACAACTTGTCAATTAGCGTATATGGAGAGAGCAGAATTAAAACATGTGTGGATAATGTTGGTCAACCATGTTATATATAATGAATAGAGCTAGCCATCTCACCCCTAACCAATATTAATGGCTGCAGAGACAGTTATTTTATTGTTGACTCTATATATGAAACAGATGAAATCCTAGAAAAATACACACTATGAATCAGGAAAGCATAATCCTAGGGCTTCGCTTGCTTGATTGTGAGGTATTACTAGTTCATTGTTATGGAGCATCATATTCATGGGAAAGTTCGAGTGTGCTAAGAAAGCATCAGATGCAGCAGAAGTCGTCTCTGTCAGATTTGAAGCAAACAACTGGTCCAAGCTTTCCACGTCATCACTGTAATATTCTTCCCCAATATTAACGTTGTTTTGGCCACCGTAGTTATCTGATGATGATCTTATTCCCAGACTAGGGCTATCTAGTTGAGGAAGATCAAGAACTTGTTGGTTCTGATGCTGCTGATCCAAACTGGTTAAAGCTTGGTGATGATGAGGACTTAGGGTTATACCTTGAGAGTTAGAGTTACTAGGATGATGAGTAGTATTGAGAAAATGATGGGTTTGATTCAGAATGTCAGAAAATGAAGAGAAGGTCCTTCCATGGCTGCTGATCTGATCTCTGAAATAGCACTGTGCTTCAAAACCTGGCCTCAAATGACTAGGACTTGGCTTTTTGAATGCTCTGCACACTACCCATCCTTCCTCCTGCAATTCCAATGACTTCAACTTATCAGTAATAATCAGATAAATTTTCTCATCTAGTTCACGGAATCTGAAAAAAAATAGACTGCGAATAAATAAATAGTATGGACTTCATATAGATTTTACTTACCTGATGTTATTTATAAGGTACTTCCAACATATTAATTATCGAAAGCACGAAGAATTTTAAACCTCATTTACCTCCACCTCAAAGTGTGATATATGATCAGTGACACACAAGTATATCTTGTTTGATATAATGATAAAGTAAAACATGGGTAACAGGCATTATATTGACAGATTAAAGTCTATGTGGAAGACAAGTTCGCACAAAAAGTCACATGCATAACAGGTAATATGGAAAAAGTGCAAGCAATATTCTGACTTGTGATTTGAACTTTGCCTCTTGGCTTTTCTAAAGGGCATAAAGTAGCTTTTAAGAAAAGTGGATATGCATGTTTCTATTGCATGCTTGAAACATAAGTATTTATATATAGATATATAATTAAGGTTCCTTTTCAATTTACTATGCATAATATATATATATATATATGTTTTTCTGAATTGTAGCTAGGCCCTAATGTATATATTCTTGAATATGTAATGGTAGGTATATGAGAAAAGGTATAATTATATTCATTAATATGGTTTAATTCAAATTTTGTTTATCCTCTCAATTTATAAGTGGAAGTAACAGACAAAGAATTAAAGCATCAGCTACAATTGAATTAAAAAAATAGTCCTTTTCGTTGGAAAATTAGCTACCAAGTTCAATGTTTCTCTTCGGATGCTCATGCACAATGTTTTTCATCAGGACGAAAGTACAAGAATATGTAATTGTGAGCTTTGGACTTTCTAAAAGGTAATAATTGTTAAACGTCCTTTAAAGTTCTTATACATGAAGTTTTTCTCACTTGTTTTTAATTTTTTTCTGAATTTTACGTGACTTATTATTAAAGAATTCTTTTTAAAAAAAACTTGTAAGCTCATCAGAAATTAATGGAGCTTTTAAGACTAATGAGCATGCTATATATATCATCATTATAGGGTTGAACTTGAAGCAGCTAAATATTACTATAGGCATGAAACTGGTGTGTGTGTGTGAAGCTCACAAACTTTTTGAGCCTCCTCAAATATTGTTTCTTACAAATTCTAATTAGAATATATATTTAGCAAGAAAAGGGAAACAATTATTTTTAAGTTAATTATAATTGAAATGATCACACGTTTAATTACACACACACTGTTTTTTTTTGGCCCCCACTTCTCTTATGTTTTGTTTATTTCAAAGAGTGGGGATTAAATCTTGCCGTGATACGTGCTAGTCAATTTTGCAGGCGTTATGTGATGTAAGACATTAACTCATTATCTTTACTTACAAAGCATCACATGATTAAGATGATACTACCTCTTGTGATTAATATAAAAGTTAGCTTACTAATTTGAATAGATTAAAAAAATCAGTTAAATTAATTATTAGGTGTTGTGTTTCCTAAAATACTTTTGTTAATTATATGTATTAGTTAGAACTATTATTTGATGAAACATTTAACATATGCAATTTCTATAAGAACTGTCTTAAAAAGAAATAAATAAATACGAGGAATAAAGTGGATTAGGTTTTATATGTAGGATCAAATTAAATATCAAACTAGCTCTTATGTTGAGGATTAGGGATAGTAAATCTTAAATGTTAATAATCCTTTCAACTTAGCTTTTCCTATCTACAATATACATGACTCATATAACGTTGTCTAGAGAACTATATAGCTTCAAATATGACAGCTAATTAAGGACACTTAACGTTTGAAAGAGATTCTAATTAGAAAGAAAGCAAAGAATTAAGCAGAGATAGATACTGATTATATATTAATGATTGGATACTTGCCTGAGGAGGGGCATGTTCAGAAGATTGGAGGCGATATTCATGCATGATCCAGTCAGATTTTCTGCCATTAGGGGCTCGTCCCTGGTAGAACACCAGAGTCTTCCTCATGCCTATGATCTTGTTCTTCGACATCACTGCCTTGTCCCTCCCTGTTGCTTTCCAGAATCCTGCCGCTGTCGCCCTATTCGTTCTTGTCCCTGTTGGATACTTCTTGTCCTTGTGGCTGAAAAAATACCACTCGTTCTGCTCCTCATATCCTAGCTTGCATCTATCTGCAATTCATGTATATATATCAACATGTTACTATCTACAGTCATTAATATAAGAGCTCTACTTACCTAACTTGAGTAGATTAAGAAAATCAAATAATTATTTGTTAATTATAACAAATTAATGTGACATGATCTCCTTAAAATATTTCTAAATAACTTAAATTATATATCAGTTCATAAGTTAGATAAATTAATTTAAAAAATGATAAATATATAAGAGATGAAGTTGATGGAAGTGTTATATTTAGAACCAAATATAACCCCGGACAGGCTCCTATATTAAGGATAAAAAAGGGGTAATATGTATATAGAGTGTACCTTGTATGTCCCATGGTTCCATTTTGTAGAGATCTAGCTCGACAATGACATCTACGTTGATTTTGAGTGAGTTTATCTTTCTCTTGAGGTAATATCCTACAAGTTCTTCCTCTGTTGGATGAAATCTAAATCCTGGTGGGACACATGATTCCATATCCGCCATCGAAGATCTCTCCTGCACAAAACAGATTAATCGAAATTAAGCCAAAAAGTCATTTATCTATGATTGATAGTAAAACAAATTCTGTGGTCTAGAATTTGTATATATATGTGGCCAAGGACTATGGATCCAACTCTCTCCACTTAGCTTTTGCTTTACTTATGGTTGAAAATCAATCCTCACAATTCTAAAGTGCCTAGCTAGCTAGCTAGCTAGGGCTACGATATATACACAGTAACTAGTGATGATGGTGACGATGATGATGCAACTTCGGAATTGGACCCAGTTCTTCAACACACATGTGCATTCACAAAAAATGGCAGACCATGTGTGGGACCCACCAATCAAAGAATATTAACTAATTAAGACATACATAAGGATATATATTATTAGTTCCAAGAAGGTAGTTTTGCATGAAAAAGGCTATATATATATATATATATATTGTGCATATATATGTATATATAAAAGTAGCATACAGGCCGAAAAGCTTGACTTTCCTGGCAGAAGAATGTCTCGATCGTTTGTTTGAGTGAAGTGCACTTTCATCAACTCGTGCTCACTGGCTGGTGGTGGAGAAAGACCTGTCTCTAGGGAAGCATTTTTGGCCTCTTAATTAATTAAGCATGCTAGACAAAAAAGCTTTGGTTTTTTCAATCTAGAGAATCTAGCTCGTTTTCAGACTTATATATTATTGGACGACATAATCACTATACCTGCTTGACTCTTAAAACCCTATCATTAATATTCGCTAATTTGGACACAAACTTTGTCCACTTCGATATTAATAAGGCGCTTGGATTTCCTCACATCAATTATCATATCGTTACTACATCCCTTTCACTCTCTCTCTCTCTCCACTTCTACAGATTTGCTCTGTGATCTTAATCAAGTTCCTAACACAAATTTATATAAAGAGAAAAGAAAGATAACAGAATCAGAAGAGCCCATCAAGAATTAGAAGGCTCAAGAAAAGACAATCGCAGAGAGATAACACTGATGAAAAGCTTTCAAGTTCTGCAGAAAAAGAACCATCTGCAGATATTTTAGCAGGAAACTATGATGGATGAGATATGTGTACTCACAGAAAACTGGGGTGATGTCATCGTGTTCTTCGATCTTGTTGAGCTAAGAGATTGAAGGATCAAAAGATGGATATATAGATGAGGATGGTTACAGGAAGAAAGATGAGAGAAAGAGAGGTTTGTGACTTGGTGAAGAAAAAGAGAAGAAGAAGGGAGCTAATATGTCTGCTAGAAAGAGAGAAAGAGAGGTATTTATATAAGGGAAAGGATGTATCTAGAAAAGAAACAGAAGAAGAATATATTTTATATATATATATATATATTTATTTGTTTACAGAGATATAAACAAAAACATAAGTTGTAGATGAAGTTATTGATTGCGCGTGGGGTGGCAGATAGATGGAAGGGTGTTTTTGTTTGGACGGCGTGACACCGAGATTTCACGCCACCCCCCCTTCCTCCCACCACTTTAGTTTTATCTTTTAAACAAAACCACACTCTCCTCTCTCTGCCCCTCCCTCCCTCTCTTCCTTTTCTTGTCCTTTATTTTCATCCTTAAATTACCTTTTGTCATTTGGTCAAATATCAGTTTTTCCTGTCACAATTAATTCAACTCATCAGCTAGCTGCCTCTTGTTTCATGCCTCATTATTTTGTATGATTTTTATTATCATCATCACTTATCTTAAATAGTCTCAAAATTAGTACTAATTTTGAGATTATATATTAGGAGGGATAACTTGACATTTTGTAATTAATGCCATGTGTGCTGAATCTCAATCAAATGTAATTATTTTTTACTCAAGTTTGAGTAAAACTCTTTTGGGTGCCAAATATAAAAGTTATATGACTAATTTATAGAGATTAAAGAGATCAGTGAAGTTAATTTATTTATAAAAAATGTTTATTGGTTTTTTCCAAATATCCATTTTCATTATTTGCATTGAAAATTACTCCATTAATGAAAAAACCCCTTAATACACACACACACACAAAAGCAATCAAAAATTTTTGTTTATATCTTTCTTATCGAATTTTTTAATCGCCCTTGTTATTTTGGTATACTAGTGTTAGTTGTTAAAATGCGTGTGTGCATGTGTGAGTCCAATTGAAAATGTAGAATAAAAATTTTAAAAAAAATTACCAAGGTGATATATCTTCACACGCAAACTAAAACTAACTATATATATGTTATTGTCTATTCTTAAAGGATTTGTCTATCTATTTTTCCTTTGCATTATAGGACATCTATCCCCCCACAATCTAGGGTTTCACCTTGTCTTGTCTGGTTTGGTGCGCCGTCCCTCGACATTTGGCACCACTACCATGTCGACACCTGGAACATGTCAGTTTTCATAGCTGTTATTATCAGAGGTTTCATCATTTTTGTTGTTGTTGTTTTCTTATGCATTAATTTATGCTTTACCACTAGAGCTCCACCATGTATAGTTATTGTCACCTTTCTGCCCCTCTCGATTCTAGCCATACATATATTGTTTCCCAGTTCCTCTGATCAGCCTTTTGTTTTTGTTAATTGGTCATAACATGTTCCAGCCAAAAGTTCTCTTTTAGTTATTAATTAACCTTAAACATTAATTAATTAAGGTGTGGATAATGCGAAGTTGTCAGGGTTTTTGGGATCAACACACACACACACATGTATTTATATATATTGAGATGAATTTACATTGCACACACTTCATGATATAGAATTACCAATAAAAAATGTCAACTTTCATTTTCATTTGAACCATGTCATCCTTCCAGTCCTAAATATAGGACGTTGTTGAGAGAAAAAAATTTTAATCTATAATATAAGTCACTTTTGAATTAGTTGTTAGTTTCCCCCCAAATATTCTCATTATTATTATAATTTACAAGAACAAGGCTTGAAAGCTAGCTAGCGTGAGTAGTATTTCTGTATATTCATGGATATGGTTAAAGTTGAAAAATATTTCATTTTCGTACAAAGTTAATGAGTTAACTAGAAAAAAAGTAAACCCGGGGGTGTGGTTGAGCGGTGGGGGCTCATCCTCCCTTAACCAAGTGTCGAGGGTTTGATTTTCATCCTAGGTATGGAAAAGCTTTAAAACCTCGGACCAGTTGTCCCACCCATCGAGGTACCTACAAGCCAGCGAAGGGATTAGTCACTGGATTCGATAAATACCCTAATGTTTCATAAAAAAAAAAAACTAGAAAAAGAGTATATTCTTATAAACATCGTCATTAAAGAGATTAGAGATCTTGTCATGCAAAACTGAAAATTACTTTTTTTTTAAATCATAATTTAGAAAAGCTTGTAAATGTATTGACAATTTGCTTATTAAGCCCGCGATAATGAAACTGACCATGAGATTCTTAATAGTACTTCTCTTTTAAGGCTCTGGAGATGCTTCACTTGCTAATAGAGCCTGAATTTAATTTTTTTAAAAAAATTTTTATACAGCTTCTAGTGGTGACCTTCTATTAAAAAACAGCACAGGGAGAAGAGAGCATATACATGAGAAACCAACTGGTTCAGGTTACACCACCCTGAAACACACACCATATCTAGCAAAAGAGTGAGAGTAGAAGATTAAAGAAATAAGATCTTTAATTAACGAAAATGGAAGAAACAATAAACATCAATAAAACCGATATTTTTATACAATTTTCTTATATCCGTAATTTTTAGGATCAAATTGAAGTACTCCGTCCCTTTTTATGAGAAATTAAAACAACTATTATCTCTATATTGTTTCTATTTTTAAGAAATATTCGTCAGATACCTCAATTTTTTTAGTTAGTTTTCTATTTTGCCTCCGGTTAATTACTTATTTCAATACTTAATAGATTTATTATCTCAATTTTCAACGTATACTTTTGTGTGTGTATTTCTTTTTATCAGGAAAACAGAAACAAAACTGTGTGTGTGTGTGTGTGTGTGTTGTGTTCTTCATTGTTTCTCATGGATTTTTCATCCTGTAGTGTCAAGTCATCAACCGAAATTTGATAGTTCAAGTTAGAAGAGAGCTTTTGTGTTTATCCTAAACAAAAGTTAGTGTGAATGACTTAAATATGATGAGAAAGAAACTGCATAATATTTTTTTAATATATATATATCCGTTTCCGAAAAGTATTAATACTTGATACTCAAGGTTTCTTTGAGAGCAATGCACTCTTTTGCTATTATAAAAAAGTGATAGTGCCCATATGTTGTACCAAAAGGTCTCCTATGGATTTATATATTTAGTATTTTTTAATATAAAAAGGACAGTACCTACACACTTCGTATTATATAATATTGGTGTCCACAGCCAGGCATCCATCGTATTCTTTTTTTGTGAAAATTATTCATATGATTCAGACAAAAAAATTAAAAGGAAAATTATTTGTCAAATTAAAAGTGCTCGAGTAGAAAATTAATTGTGCAAAAACATTTGGAATTTGGTTAAGGACTCAAGGGCAATCTATCTTCAATTGGTGCAATTTTTCCTGAGCTGTTTATCTATATCATGTGCAAAACGAAAAATATTTGTACGAAGTTAAAAATATATTACAAACAATTAAATAAGAATCATTACATTTGTTGAAAATGAGTTAAACCTACTCAAAGACCTGGTCCTTAGGTACCTTTGCCCAGTTATTTTTTTTTCCTTGGTAATTTTAACTTGTAAATGATGCAACTTAGCTTATAAATACGAAAGCTTGAACGGTAAACACAAATAGTTAAATTTGCTATAAGATATACAAATTTGACTTATAAATATAAACCTCTTAAGATCTATCTATATCATTTTTTTTTTCTTATATGAGACTTATGAATAATTTCTTTTAATTTGTGTACGTGGTGTGGAAGTACAAAAGAAATAATGAACATCATTTACTAGTATCATATTAATTATTTAGAATACAGTAAAACCCATCGTTTCCATTAGAATATTGTTATTATAAACCACTGAAAAATAATTTTCTATTGGTATATCTGTTTTGCTTACAGACTAATTAAGCTCATAATCTAGGGTTTATTGTCTTATTTAACAGTGGACCTGCCTGGCAAAATGTATACATAAGTTGTAACAAATAAAGGTTAATTATTTTAATGGGTAATTAATTACCTACTCTATACCCTCCAAAAAGCCTTTCAAGAGACGTACGTGAGAATTACACTAATGAGTTGAGTAGCATGTAACATGTAAGTACTAAGTATCTTAATTTATTTAAAGTCATGGCTTGGAGTTACGTTTCAAAATCGAACCAACTAAAATATTTTATTTTTTGGCCAGTAACCTACTAAAATATTTTAAATAAATAAATAAGTAAATAAGCTACCAGTGTAGGACGTGTATGATTCCCATCCGCCAATTTGAGAGGGCAGCCATCAAAAGCCTAAGGCTTGTACACAAAGCTTACTATATTGTACCTTTTATATATATACTATACTCCCTCTTCAAATAATTTATATATATGACCCAATTATTTAATTTATAAGGATTAAGAAAAAGTTAAGTTAGTTTTTAGTTAACGTGTCAATAGTTTATGACAGTTTTTTTGGGGAAATAGTCACTAATCATTTATTAAACTATTGATTCTCATTTATTTAAATTTTTTTAAAAAATCATTAAATAGGAATATTTTAAGCAACAAATCAATGTGGTGGTAAAAAAGTAGATAGATGAAATTTTATATTAAGGATGAAACCAAAATTGTTAAGAAAATTTGCACATTAATATTACACAACACACACTCGCACCTACTCAATACAACCTAGGAGAAGAGCAATATAATAAACTAACTACACCCTGTCACTGTTGCATTATAAAATTAATTCATCAATTTTTTAATTCTGACAAAACGTCATTTTGTCCCCACACTTGCATACATATACACAAAAAAACACTGTTTATAATAAATAAATATGATTTTAAAAAAATTTATATCATTTGCATTGACATATGATACGCCAAGTTTCAGATGGGAGCTGACATTTGATGCTAAGTTTTTACTTCATTTGGTTCAAAATATAAGCTAAACTTTATTCATTACGTTTATCAAGAAACTAATTAAAATCAATTTAAAACAATAAACAATAAATGTGTAGAGCATATATTTGTTTTTCCTAATATACTTTTATTAATGAAGATAATAAGTAAAAGATGTAATAAGCGAATTAAAGAGAAAAGAAAATATATGGGAGTAAAATTAAAAAAAACTCATTAAATGCTT